TAAAAGTTCACGAAATAAATAAATGCAAATAAATTTATGGAAGAAAAAAAAAGTCGGAATAAGCGAAAGTGTTAAGAATAAGCAATGAAGTGGCACATATTCTCCTTTTCCTTCTGGTAATGAAAATGAGGTCATAGTTAAAAAAGTAAGAGCACGTGACGCTTTAGGAGGAAATTTTGCTGACGTCACGCAAAGCTCTGCCTCTACAAAAACAATGAATCACTTTAAGAGCACAGAAGCGAGTTTTTCTTTCCTTGATTCACTTTCTTTGAAGTTAAAATACAGACTTTTCTAAGCAGCAACTCGAATGCGCAATCAGAGACTAAACAGAAAACGATTACAATTATCTCAATTGAAGTATTAGACTGTTGCCAGGATTAAATTAGGTTAACAAGTAAAATCGTTCTTTAATAAGGGCGGGAAAAATTTAATCAGAAAACTATGAAGGAGAAAGTTATAATGCAATTGAATGATTTTTAAAATTTATTTTATTGAATAAGTTGAAATTCCTTACACGAGGACGGCCTTGTTAAGACACAATACTATTTATTTCATAGTAATCTTTTATTAAAAAGGATAACTCCGGATTTCAAAAAATGCCTTTAGGGAAACGGTAAAAGAAAACATTTTCCGTCTATAAAATTTGGGGGGGGGGGGAGGCGAGTGCTTCGTAACTGATTAAAGCATGTTCGATTTATATGCTGGACTGAGAAACGAATTTGGAGAACTGATTTCTGAAAAGAAAAAATAATAATTAAATCAAAAATTTCTGTTGACGAGCGTTGAATAGATTTAGTTTGTTAGCGTTTTTTTTGGGAGGGGGNGGGCTTCAGCACTGGACGTGTTGAAAAGCAGTGCTTTAAAAGATGGAGGAAAGCGGTCGGTTTCAAGCCTTCTCAGAGACTTATACATAAAGAATATCCTTTATCCTTGTAATAGAATATACAAAACTATTTTTAGAAACAACTTGTTTAAAAAGAAACAGAGAAAGGAACAGCTTATAAAACTGTCTAACAACCGACTAACTAATCAGTGAATGAGTTTGAAGCCTCAACATCATATTTTTAAAACGATAATTGCTCAGCAGAATAGAACAAAAAAATGAATATTTTATATTTACAAAATCAGAAATCTAAGAAAATTGAAAAATAATAACTTGAAAAGAATACGCAAGGAGCGGGTTATAAATTTTCAAAAACATGTTAGCTCTTTACGCAGATTCGAAAAAGTGTTACCAGCCTTAATAATATATTTTTAAACAATTTAAAAATCATTTGTTTTCGTAAAAGAAAGTAGCATTTTCTTGTCCATCGGACTTCGTCACGTCATGAAACCTTAGAAACCAATAATTTCTAAAACAATGCATGTTTTGAAACAGAAGGCTCACTTGTAATTAAAGTTCTCAATTTTTAACTAATGAAAGAATACCAAGCCACCATCTACATTCTGCTCGTTCTTGTTAAAAGAAAAGCAAATTTTGGAAGTTCAGTTAGAACACTTGCCTTCCATCCAGAGAGCACCTGTCGCCAATTGCAAATAAATGCGGGAACATGCGTTATCTCAGCTGATTTAATCAACTTATACTACCCACTTCATCTTAAAAGTAAATTCTCTCAAGGCGAAATTCATGAAAAATAGTCTTGATTAGTGGAAAAACAGCAAAAAATTAAAGCAAGCATAAAATGTAGTATGGAAAATCATTTCCGTTACAAGATTCGATGATATAAACAATTATCTAGACTAGGTGGATACTTGCAAATGCAAAAATTAACTAACTCAGCGACAGAGCTTTGATTTAATGAATATAAATTAGAAGCTGCGTTGATTAACGTTATTATAAATAACGAATAGAATCATTTGTAAAAATGTGCCATATTACAATGTTAAACACAAAGAAATTTAAAATCAACCGTCTGTGCGCACTATTTATGATACCTACATCAATAAAATTGCTCCTACACCCGCGTTTAACGTGTTAACGAATAACTAACTTCTGTGATCCCCCCCCCCTAAAAAAATTATTGAGAAACGTTCAAATCAAAATAGTCTTCAAAAAATTCGTCATAATTATTCAGCTGAATTCTCAGAAATAATGCCTATTTCATGGTTTCTAGGATTTATTTTATTTTATTTTTAGGCTCATTATATTTAATAAAAAAAAAAGAAGCTCACAGTGAGCGAAAAACAACAACCATATGTTTATTTAATATGAGTTCAAAGTCAAGTGTTGCCACAAAAAGGAAAAAAATAAAATATTAAATTGCACTCTTTTTTCACAAAACAGAATTACATGCTAGATAATTTAAACAATTTTAAGCACAAAAATTGATGAAACTTGTTTACAACAAATTTAGTGTTTACTGTTTTTCAGCAGATATTTTTTTAAAATTTGAAATCAATTTTTCGAAACAAGTCACGAGTTTGCTAGAATACTCATAAAAACTACATACTAAAGGATAAAATAGGCAGACAATTTTTTATACACTTCAACCTTATAAGAGGTTTGAAAAGTATATTTATAAGAAGCATATTTAATTGGAAAAAAAAATGCAAATGCTTTAGCAAACAATTTGAAAGAAATAATTAATGAAAAATACAAATATTCGATGTTTTTGCAACCATAAAAAATTATAACAAAAACTTATTTTCTTTATGATTGATTTCAAAGATTTACTGTCTTTTCTTAAGAACTTATGATCTTTAGAACAAAGGAGGAAAAAAGTACAGGCAATTTACATATATATATTATTAACTCTTCAATGTAAGGGGACAGAAATAAATTAAAACTGCAATCAGAAATTTAGAAAAATAAAAAATTGTATTCCAATGGACGTGGCCAATATGAGTGACCATTACTTTTTGATTTATCAAGTTCTAAAAAACGGAGAAATCTATATCAAACGAGCCCCGTTTTCATTGCTTTAACAGAAAAATTTCAGTTTATTTTTTTTAAATAGATTTTTAGACATATGTCACGAGTCTATACCGTGACAGATTTGCAAAATTTAAGAAAAATTCACTATATGAGAGAAATAAATTATTCATACTTTAACTTATTTTTAACTAGGTTTTAAAAGAGAATAAATAAGAAAAAATAGTCTCATTTTAGGAAATGATTTTAAGTAAATAATTACTAGAAAATCAAATATGCGTTAATGTTTTTTTGATTAAAAAAAAAGAGCCTGTTTGGATTTAATTTAATTGGGAATTTTTCTTCTTCTTTTATGCATTTAAGAGTAGGTTTTTAATCAAGACTAATAAGAAACAAAAAATTAAAACATTAATTTTATTTCTTTAATCTGGGGCCGTGGAAAATAAAATAAAAAGTAATTTCGCCGATGCTTTTTTTTTCCTTCATAAATAAAGAAAAGAATGTTAATTTAAAAAATAATTATAAAAATGAAAACCGCGTGTGATATTTCGCCTCAAGCAACCAAACTTGACTTTCAGTCTGTAAGCATGGACAAAAATTTAATAGCTAAATACTCTGTAGTACAACTTAATTATTGATTGATTTTCAGTCTTAAATTAAGTTTTTCAGGCAAAAAAAACAAACTAACAAAATATTGAAAGTACAATATTTCTGAATCTTTTTCTCCCCCTATTTTGAATGTATCTTTGTAATATATAGAAAAGTCAAGATATATATTTCTTTTAAAACAACAAACCGGATTTATTAATTTATAAAATTAAGTCATTTCAATTTGTCTCACATTAGCCCTCTATAAGGCGCAAAGACTATTTTAAACACGATTTTTGGGTAAAAAACAATCGAAAAATTTGCCGTTTTATAGAAGGGCTGAAATATATCTGCTTTCAGGAAAGCAGTATCTTTCTATTTGCCACTTAAAAAAGTTAAGTCTACACCCTTCATATTATCATTATAAAGAAAGAAGGATGGACTTTCTTAATTAGTAACTAATCATATTTTTATTCTATTTTATTTATAGGAAAGTGTTCTATTTTTCATAGTGTTAATAACGATTTATTATTTATTTTTGATTTTATCCCGGACATCAAACGGGTAGCTTGGTATAACCATTTCCTATAAAGACATCTGAAGTCTACACCCTATTTATTATGCAGTTGTAAATATTATTTAGGAACGCTTTTTATTCTAATCGCTTAAAAAATTTCGACTTTTTATTATAATTAAATGTCAATTTGTTGTTTATGCCAATGTGTTGGGCCTAAGTTAAAACGATTATTTTAAAATGTTTCGCGTTTAAAGGGAAACAAAATTAAGATGTCTCTAAATTTGATTCATTTTTCTCATTTATAAAACGTTCTTTTTTTAAACCAAATTAATCATATAACAATGAAGTGTTTTTCAATAAACATATTTTAAAGAAATAAAATATTTAATATTAAAAAAATTAACAAATAACTATTATTAGACTGTCTTTTTAATTGTGGTTGAAAACATGAGCAAGTCAGTATAAACTAAGCATATTGGTCTTAACAATAAAACGACAGACAATAAAAAATAAAAAAAACTTTTAAAAATGAGATAAAGATAATTATTTTTAAGGTTAATTTTGCAGTACTTGACACTGGTGTTTGAAAAACTATTGAAAGAAAATTGCGATAAAAATATTGAGTTTGTAGAAATCTTTAAAATCTTAAGATAGTTACTAATGTGTAACTCTACCCCATTTTAAAAAGTGTTCATTCCGCCGCTTTGCTAGTCTTTCGCCTCTTTGTTAGATTTTTATCCTTGATTATAATAGTAAATTTTTCACACAAGAAAATGTATTGCATATAACATTAATAAACATTAAAAAATTAATTTACTGACATGAAATATTACTTTCAACTTTAACAAAGGGGGAAATTTTTTTTTTATACCATATAAATACATTATGAACAAATATTAGAAAGCAAATTAAAATAAGATTACTTAAAATTTGAATATTAAAATATAATACTTTTTAAAAATAAATATTGATTTATTCTAATAAAGAATTTAAAAGCAAATAAAAAATCTGATCATTACATGCCTCTAAATAATACTTGGCCTTAGTTACAGTCATTTCACCAGCAGAATCCAGATTGGAAAAAATGCCAATGATTTCTTGGTTTCGACAGGCAACCAAAATTTAACGCATTTAACCTCCTTTTGGAACAGATTTAATTAGGGTACCTAGTTAAAAATCAACTAATTACTATGCAAATAACAAAACACTTAAAAATGATATTTTTATTTTTGATTTCAATAATTAGTAAAATCGTTTAACACAATCAGAAAATAGTTTTTTTTTAATGATATTTAAGATCTTCAGCAGTAAAAGCATTAGCAATAATGTGTCAAATTATAATATTAAAAGAATGTTTTAGCCAATATAATTTTAATTCCGAGTGAAGTTGGATTTTTTTCAATTTTAATTGTGATAAGCCTAAAATTCAAAATGCAACTCCCTGAAGCCCAAACTGAACCTGGTTTGAAATAATTATAAATATTGAGAAAACAAAGAAAGAACCAAAAAATTATTGAGTAGTTTAAAGAAAGTCCATTGACCCATACCAGTATCCACACAGAATAACTATTAACTTACATCTACCAAATTTGCTAAGAATTATTATTTTTCCCTTTGTAAAGCAAACAGTTCAAAACTTGCTCATTAAACAGAAAAAAAAAAAATTAAGTATAAAATATACAAGAGTGGTTGGCGATATTTATATATTCATGATGGCATGAAAATACTGTATAATTAGGATATTAAAAATGCAAGATCTAATAGCAGATTATTATAGGTATACTGTTAACAAATTTTTTTGATTAAAGATGCAAAATATTATGTTATTACAAATGCTTACTATTCTTAACTTGATTATTAAATGAGATAATTATTAATTAAAACTTATAAAACTGATGCAATTCAGCATATTGTAAAAAACAAATATTAATTTTTTAAAAATAATATAACGCACATGCAACATATCCTTTGAAATCTGTAGCACTTCTTTTATGTTACACTAATTAATTTTTCTTAGGCTCCTTTTAAATTTTCTTAAATGAAAGTTTTATAAGGATAAATTTTTACATTAGAATAATTTTCAAGATTTAATTTTGGAAATAATTAACTAAATATTTCAATATTTTGTATTAGCTATTTTTATATTTTTAATGAACTTAATAATTTTGAAATCAATAATCAATTGAAAATCTTATTGATTTAGGTTTAAACAATATAAATGTTTAATTTATGAAATGACAAAATACTTTAACTCATTTTTATTTGTTCACAAAGCAAAAAAAAAAAAGCAATTTTTTATTAAATAATTAATTTAATAACTACTGTAAATAAATTCCATAACTTTCTTCAAAATATTGGAATGTCTGAAAACTCAGCTCTTTTGACCTCGTAAATAATACCTCCATATTTTGCATTTTTAAAGTTATAAATTCAATTTCCTGTTTCAAATATTATTGAAATTAAAAAGTTAACTGAATTATAAAATTCCCTCTCCTTTATCTGTAGGCTTTTCCAATGAATTTTTGCCTGAAAGGTATGGGAGCATAAATTGGCATTTCAAGGGTTGCAGATTGTGTACCATTACTGCAAGTGAGAATTTATGTAACAAAAATTATTTTTACTTCCAGTAAAGATGCAGACTCATGTGTAAAGTCTAAACAGAAATAATGAAAGTTTTGTAATTAGACAACTCTTATTTTGCATGAATAAAAAATTTTCATATCTTATACCATGATTCTTGGCGTAAATGTTGCTCAACTACTTTTAAAGTTACTGTAACTGTTTTGAATACAATAAACCTGCATAAATTAAAATACAGTGAAATCTATGGGAAAGACCATCTCTGTGTTGCGACCCACTCTATTTACAACCACTTTTGGAAGGGACAGAATTTTTTCCAGGGATTTCGGATTGAAGAAAACACGAAAAAATATCGAAATAAAAAATATTCACAAAAGAAATTGGATTCACATGTAATCAAAATGTTTGTGAACGATTCTTAGTTAGAGAGCTCTTTTTGACAATTGCTGAAAGAGAACTCTCATGTTACAGTCAGACTACACTAAAGACAATGTTATCAGTAATTTAGTTTTAGAGTTAGAAGCAAAATTAAAACTAAAAGTTAATTTAGAAAAAACTATTTAACACAATCTAACAACAATCAATACTACACGCCATTGGTCCTTTTTCAGCAAAATTAAAAAGAATTAGTTTCATAAGCTCTATTATTTTCTCAGGCAAGGAAGGGGCAAATATATAATATATCCTAAAGATAATGAAATAATTTTATTACTTAATCTATAACAGCATACAGAATTATTATTGGAAGATGTTTAAAATAAAATTATTGTAAAAAGCTAACAATTCCCTAAGCATCATACTTATTATTAGATAAGAACTTTTTTCTCAATGTCAATGAATTTAATCTCTTTTATATAGAATTTTGAAATAGTTTGGTGATAACTGCATAAAAGACAGTCCTTTCAAGGAAAATATATATATATTTTCCCTTCTTCTTTCAACTCAGTAACTCTTATTTCTTTTCATTTTAGTTTTGACCATTATCAGTAAACACAAAATGAGATGGCCTTTAACATTTACTTATCAGCTACACCTGCAATTAGAAAATTAATTCTAGCTAGTTTGGGAGTTATTAAATGCTTGTGCTCAACTTGTGGACTTTTTAGGTCCAAATTGAGAAACAGTTTCTGTCTCAAAAAAGAAGCTTGTTCAAGTTTATAGATATTTAAAAAGTGAATCAGAACCAAAAGAGATTTAACTGTAACGAAATGTAGCATTCGCTTTATATATAGTTAACTGATGCATCACCAATAACAAAATGTGAATTATAGAATTTTATCATAAAATGAATATGCGATTAAAATATTCTAGTAAAACACCGAGTACAACGCGTTCTATTTCTGCTATGTTGAAATATATTTTAAAACTTAAGTTTTCCAATAGTGAAATTTCAAAAATAAATTAAAAATGCTTTGATCAACAACTTTTTAAAAAGTAATAAAGATTATTAGCTTAAAAATAGAATAATTTGAGAAAAATATAAAAAATGTGGAAAATTATAATCGCTGTAGTAATAACAGAAAAAAAGGTTGCAAACCAATTTTTTTTTTTAAATTTAGGATTAAAAAAAAACGCTTATACATGGGGTTATTTTAGATGAGTTTTTTCAAAGAAACCCACCCAGTTATTTTTGGCAGGTGGGTGGGTAGTAAAAAAGGCATTAAGAAAATACAAAATAAATATACAAAAAATAACAATCAAAGGTTTTGCTTTAAAATTAAATTACTTTGTAACATTATTTTCTAAGAATTTCCCAAAATTTTTTTAAAACACCACATATTTTAATTTTCTGTTGTTTATTGTAATTCATTGCTTAAATTCCAAAACTATCATTCATAACATGGTTTCAAAATATTAGGCCCGCACTAAACATTATGTGAATCACTTCTGATAACAATATCACACAATCATATTATAATAATGAAATTCACACAATACAAAACATTTACGATGAAACACTTGTATGAAACGTTCATATGTTAGGGCTTAGCCCACTCTGGAATGCTGGAGTAAATAGCTTAAAAGCGCATATACCTGAAAAAACATCGATATCGCTACAAGACTGGATAAATCGATAAAATTACATTCATAAGAGCTGATTAAACAACCATTATTTCAGCTACGAGTGATATTAAAGTGTTTTATTCCAATATTTGATGTTTTGGAACAGAACATATTAAACATATTTTATTCACTATGGTGATTTTTCGAATACTCCAACATGTATAAAATTAGGCTTACGCATTGGTATTTAATTCCAAGAACATTTTCCGCTTTGAATTGTGCTATATATGTGATTTTATTAATAATGTCTTTTAAAAACTTCACTAAAAATTTTTTTTTCATAACATATGCAACACATTTTAGAGTAAACCATTTTATTAGTCAGAGCTCTCAAAGCCATTTTTCAAAGTGGAACATTATCAACTAATATAAAAGGTTTAATTAGAATTAATTGCAATCATATATGAAAATTATAATGAAAAAAATAGCCTGACCCACGTTTAGACCATGTGTGATTGTTATTATTGCTCAGCTGAGTACTTACCAGTTACGTATTTCTCGTCACAAACTTTGCCGCAACCCGACTGGATAAATTGGCAGAAACGTAGCAGCCACGTCAAGATGCCTCGACTTCGTCACTGAAAAACGTCTCGTCACTTGCATAGAAAATGTATTACTGCGCGAATCAAGGCTTCTTCGGCTCGTCCAATTGGTTCTCTTTCATATTACGTAATCGAACCGCTTTTCTCAATCTCTTCATTGGTTACAGCGCTAACGCCAGATGAGTAAATAGTAATGAAAAAGAATGGCGAAATTTCGTCACCACTTTTTTGATTTACTATTTTCCATATCACGTTTTATCCTATGAAAAGCTGAGCAAAAAATTGAAACGATTATTTATGACTTAATGATGCGCGAATTTTATTTTAAATTTTATTGAAGATATAAAAAGAAATGAATTTTTTTGAATTCATTTTTACACAGATTTTTTGTAATCCAAAAACTTTTCTCAAATAATAGTTCCTTTTTCAAAAATTTTACTCCGTTTCAATTTAAAAAATAAATAAATTGGGAACATGAACTTTTTCATAAGCAACATTATTCTATTGTAGTTCGATATTTTGTTTCTAAAAAAAAGATATAAATTTATTTAACTGAAACTTTAAATGACAAACTTTTGTAAATTAAATATACATTAACTTTAGTAATCATTTATAAATATCACTTGGATATAAAAATATTATGAAAAAAAAAAGGAAAATTAATTCTTCTTGAAATTTTTTAAACTGACTGTTGCTTCTTTGTTTTCAATCTCATAATCATACGAAAAATCACATAGAAATAGAAAATTTTAATCCCTTATTGTTACTAAAATAACTGTTTAAACACTTTAAAAAGCATGCATTAATGGATAAATTTTATTTTAGAATAAAAATGGTGTATTAACTCTTTTTTAGCAGCAATCAATTTTACAGAATTTTCCAAAGCTCGAGAGTTAATTACAACATATTTCTTATAGAAACAAATCAGCTATCAAAAGAATCAAAATCAGGGAAACATAGTCTCACCTCTTACCATATCTTAAGTGAATTATAAATTATTTAATATTTACTGTTAGTCAGAAAACTTTGGTAATAATTTATTTTAGAAAACTTACTCAATTTTAGGGAATTTTCTGAAATGCACAAAAACAAGGAGAATTTTTATTAAATCAGTAGACCAGGAGAAACTAGAAAAATCCAGTAGAGTTGGTAGCTATGTAAAATATATTTGGACCTCCTTCCAAAAATATTGTCACTCAGCTATGTGCTTGCTAATATTTAAATGGTTAATTCAGAGATTTTGGTATAGATAAAAAAAAAAGTGGTTTACCAATTCATCTGAACAAGAAAAGGTAGTTTCGAATGGAAAACGTTTTTTTGCAAATAGTTTTTAGATATTTCAGAGCCAAACAAGATTACCCCTCCCCTTTAGATTTCAATTCTTTCATTTTTAAGATTTTTCTGTTATTTTTTCGTTGTATTCGTATCTTAAACTTGTATTTCTACAAACTTCTTTCATTGGAAAAACCTTAATTTCATAAAATTTCACAAATAATCTATTTCGTATTAAGAATTTAAGCCGATGAATGATTAAGCATGGTGGGATGATTAGTATTTAATATTTATGCATCACTGAAAAAAAAAATGGTTCAATCGAAGAAAACTGCAAATAATTAATTACCACTTACATGAGGCATTATCAAGACAGAGAAAATATAATTTTCCAAAAATCAAAAAGGAATATTGAAATGAGAAATAACTTTTATCAGAACTCAGATATTTTACTTTCAAAATAAGAGCAATAAAAAAAAAGATTTTTTAAACTGCACGGAATTATTTTTGTAAAAACTTTTTTTCATTTGAATCATCTATTTCAAAGCCCTTTCTAAGAAAAAAATTACAAAAAATTTCTTTTTACAACAAAATATATAATTTTGTACCAAAAATCATTTTTACTGTTTTAAATCAGCATAAAAAAACTTTTTTATATTAAATTAAGCAAAGGAAAAAAATTATATGTTTTTTTTATTTATGCCTTTTTTAATATTAATTCAGGAAAAAAAATTTGAACTACTTAATTACAATTTTTCTACTGAACTTCATATATTGTGTGCATAGTTGGAAATGTAGAGAGAAATATACTTTGATAAAAGACAAAACCTCAATGTTTCAAAAAAAAAAAAAAAAAAAATTGAAAAAAACTATCTCCTGTTAGGGTAAAATGAAGGTCAAAATTCAAGTATAAAAATAGAAGCTCGTTTTTAAGATACAGAGTTGAACTTTTTCAGGATGCATGAACTCATAATACATTGGGACTCATAAAATAAAAGCCATTGTTAGAAAAATTACTACAAAAAAATAATTAAAATATTTTTTTCTCAAAAATACATTTTCTCTTCTTAATTGAAATATTAAAAGCTGTTTCTCACTTTACATTTGGGTAACAGAAAAAAGTATTAGTTTTATTAACATCTGAATAGTTTTTGAGGAAATATTGAACATATTTCATTCAATCTTTTATAAGAAATATATTTCTGGAAACTTTTAATTATTTAAGATTTTTTTTTATCAAATTCTATTGAGTAAATTATAGTAGAATCGCTATGGATGTTATTTTGAAGCAAAATTACAGTAAAACATAACTGATTAATTTTATAAAAATGATCAAAAGAAAATCTTAGAAAAACAATCCTTCAAAAAAGATATAACAAAAAGATTTTGAAAGTAAGTGTCATAGTTTCCTCAAAAACATCAATGCGGTTTGACTTTCTCAGTGCATTCACAAAAACTTACCTACAAATTGCAATGTCATTGAGGTATAGAAAATTAGCTTAGCGCTTTAAGGTTAACATAAAATAAAGCCTATGTAAAATCTCTTGATTACAAATGTATTTCCAATTATTAAGAAGCTTAAGAAGTTCTTAAACTATGTTTGAGCAGTATAAAACTATGTTTGCAGATGAAATCTGTGAAATTAAAAAACATACTGGACACTTGTTAATATAAATTCAAAACTCACATTTAGTGAAAATAAATATTTTGCTTACAAATATACTCTTAGAAATTTTATTCCAAGGGGGTAATTGTGAGTCCAACTCAAAAATCCTGAAAATTTCTTGAGTAAAATCATTAATGACGCATTTCAAAAATTTACTGTCTTTATAAATTTAAATGATTGATATTTTCACAACATGGAATTCTAAAGAAATTATATGCAGCAAAATTTAAATTAATGTATAAGTTTACTTTTAATCTCTAATAACATTTATTATTCTACCAGAAAAAAATATTTACAAATGAAAGAGATGCTAAGTATAAATTCTAGTTCTAATATTTTTAAATAAAATATACAAGAATTTTTATACATAAATGCGATCGATGATTTCTTGAAACTTCTGGACCTTGGATTTCAAGAAATCCAGATTTTTTCCGGAGCACAATCATCTCTGATTCCATTAAAACTACTATACTGAAATATTTAAAAATAACTAATCTTCTTAAAACATTTATAACTGATATTCCCCCAAAAATATTTAGTTAAGAATCTGATCTCTTCCCCCTTTCTTTTTAAAATTATTTTTCTGTTTGTTAGAAACAGTCCATGATAAACTTTATTTTCTTTTGAATACGTTTGGAAAATTAGCAATTTCATATTTATATAGATTTAATGCAAATCACACAGTTAAAGAATAAATAAATAGTTTTAGAAATTTTTGCTTTAATAACTCTTGGAGTTGACACATATTACAATTTTTATTACTTACAAAAAATTAAAATTCATCTAAAACTAAAAAAACTGGCTCTTACAGAAAACAACACATTGTGCGAAGTCCTTAACATACAGTTTTTAATATTTAAAAAATTTTAATAGTAATAAAAATCAGAATAAGAGTAAATATCGGAAAAAAAATTAAAAATATTGGCACTTCTTAGTTTTTTTGAAAGTGAGTTATAAACCTATAAAGTCAGCACGTATGACAATTCGCAAATGGTGAAATTAAAAATTTACAAATTACATGACAGCTTTGTCTGTTTTTAACAATATTTTTCACAGTAAAAAGATAAGACAGTCCAAAGAAAGAGCTGGAAGCTGTGGTTTTTTCCAAATTATATTTTCATCAACAAATAAAGGATTTCAATTAGTTACACAATATTGGTTCAGTTGAGTTTTGAGTAAAATAATATTAAAATACACATATTTCTCATAAGATTAGAATAGTAGACTTTTTTTCATATCTTGTTTTTAATGTTAAATAAAAGTTTGGATTAGATTATAAGTTTTTTTTATGTATAAATTTTATATTTAAAAATATTTTTCCCAACAAATGTTAAAATAAAATTATTTAGTACTTGAAATAAAATCAGAAAACGAATTCAATCATGTCTCCAAATATATGAGAAAAATTTCATAAAGAGCTGAAAATTATTTTCTAATCATTGGAAAACTAATAATAGAAAAAAAATACTTCAAGGAAAAAAGAATTCATGATGAAGAATTTCACAATACTAAAATGCAATTGAAAAAAACAATGTGTTTTGCAATAGATTTTGAGAAAAATGGTTTGACAACTATTTTTCTATTAACTCTATCTTCTTTTAACTATCAACTCTAAAATAGAATTTCAGTAAACCAATAAAAAAATTGATTTCCTTTTAAATTTGCAATATATATTTAAAAAAATAAACATCATTTAAATAAACAAAAATGACAAATATATAAAAATATAAATTTTGAATTTTTTTTGTAACATAAGTTGATTTTTCTATTGCACAGCAGAATAGGCTCTGGGAAAATTGTTTAGTATTACAGAATTGCTTTAATTTTATTTTTAAATAAAGTAGACTTAAAAAAGAGTTACGCAAAATAACTGACAGTAATAACTTTAAAGATGGCTAAAGTTTTAATATGGCAAATTACATTAATTTCGCAAGTAGTTCTCTGATATAGAAGTAGAAATTACAAAAAAAAACTATTTAAAAAAATAATTTTTTTTAAACCATCCATAAAAAGAATTCAAAAGTTTAGACAGTAATTTGACATTCATTAAAAATTATAATAACTTTATTATTACTATCAGTAAAAATTACAGTTCTTATAATTTAAATTAAGTGAAAATGTATGTCAATATAAAACAAATTTTTCATGTAAAATTCTATATTAATTAATGACATTAATTTTTCTTAAAAAAAGGCCATTAAAAAGAAAAGAAGAAATGAAATATTTGCTTTAATTTATATAAAAGTAACATTTAAAGCAGGTTTAAAATGACAATGTAAGAATACATTATAATTCAATTTTGATAACACATACATAAACAAGTTTGTAAAAATAAAAATCTTGTTCATGCAATAAGTACAATTTTAATTTTTACATGAAAATAAGTTTGAATAATTCAAATATAAAATGAATATGGTGATTTTTTAAAACTCTAGTAGAACCTTCTCTGGATAAAAAGCTATTATTTTTTATAGCATAAGTATATTTCTTTGATTTTTTTTTTTAAAAAAAGCACCATATATATGTAGAAAACAAACATTTTTATTATCAGAGACGAATCTTCGAAATCCTGAAATTAACAGATTACAATTACTAGAATCTCAAACATACATTCCCCCCACTTTTTTACACATTTGTAAAATCCTCAAATGCATCTGAGAAGCTAATAAGGGAATTAAAAATCATAACTAAAGTGAAAAACAAATTGAAAGCTTATGAAACATGTATGAAAAATTCATTACAAACTAAACTGTAAGCATATTAGCAAAATGAAGATTTTAACAAAGATGATTCTTCTGATTGAACTGATAAATTTCTAACTTATAAGTTTTCCGAAGATGGCAGTAAACCCAAATCAGAATTCCTGAGGAAGATATGATTGGAGATACTTTGACAGATATTTAAGTGTTACATGAAACGGGTAATTTGCTCTCTTCTTGTTATTGATACGACAGTTTTATTGTCAAATAATCAAAGATTGTACTTCATTATAGAATTTTGTTTAGCTTGGCTATGCTTACACTTGTTAGTTAATCTTCGTTTGTGTCTGGCGTCTCTTAAGTACCTGGATAAATATAGCCTGAAACCAAAGGAGTATGCCAGAGCCTAAGCCATCTGCCATAGTTGTGACTAACGAACTTAGACAGCAAATTGGTCCTACAATGGAAATTTAGTATTAAAAGTAATTGCTAGTGCAGCTAATTAAGATTACTAAATATTTCAAGTAAGACCTTTTTAATTGTTTCATTGGTACTGCAGTGTACTGATAGTGAAGACACGTCTCCCAGTAGATCACAGAAGTTGAGCATCACTGGCAAAAGTCAGTAAGCGGGTGAGCGACCACTTTGATCAGCCTGTGTAGGGACTGAGCCTGCGCTGTATTGCTCCTCGTTAAACTGTTCTACCGCGAAGTGCTCGACTTGTGCGCAGGTTGTCGGGCTACAAAATCAGGAGAGCCATCCCCTCTGCAGAGAGTCCAAAATTGCGATGGCACGTCTTTGGATTATCCTCAGAGATGGTTCCCTGATCATCGCCAATAGCCCATTGTGTAGCTCTAGTGAGACGTAAATAAATTACCTACCTAACAATTGTTTCACATCTGCTTGGGGGAGATCCGAGTCATTTTTGGTTAGGAGTTTGTTTAGTGCTGATGATCAGCACTTCAAAGCATTGTTTACATTTAGTGTAATGAAAGGTTAAGTTGTGCATGAATTTTGTCTTAGGTTTACTAGTAATAGGGTTTTTCAGCGCTTTAAAATGCCTAAAAATAATTACGGAAAGAATGAAGGGGAAAAAAAAGCAGAATCTTGAGATAACTTTCTTAATTAAGCATCATATTAGCAAATGATGATTTTAAAGAAAAATGAATGAGAATGATGAATGAGGGAGCATTTTTATTGATAAATATACAAATGAAAGGGGTAAATACAAACACACCATCTAAAACAGCTGGAATGCAGGAAAAGCTGCATTAAGAGGCTCAAGGAGATCAAGAAGATAATAAATTGTACCAGCAAATCCTAAAAAAGCAAAGAATAGTTTACATAAATAAAAATGAAGTAACAAAAAAAAACTTTTTTTCGAATAATAAAGTCACTTTTTATTACAATGTAGTTAATGAAGGAACTAAAAGATTATCTTCAACATTCCCTACAGATATAGGACAAAAGTAGGACATTTTGGTACTGACCAAAACCTAGTTTTAGCACTTTTGGCAGCGACCACTTTTTCAGAAATTTTAAATGATTTAAAAAAAAATTTCGACGTTAACAATAAGGCAATTTTTATAACATTTTTAAAATATGGTAAACATTACCAAGGTTTATTTTTAAAATAAAGAAAATTTTTAAAAAATAAGTGCGAAACAAAGTAATTTTTAAAATATCATAAAGTATTCATAATTTATTGAAGACAGCATATATTTATTGAATAAAATAAAAATAAAATGCATATGAGGTACATTTTTGACAAAAAAAGTGTTGATTGGTTGGAAATTTTCAAACTATTGTTTTTATCTCTATTTGTTCATACTGTGGTTGTAGGTGACCATTTATTTTGCCCCTTAAGGACAGGCATCAAATTTTCAAATAATTTCAATTTTATATCACGTTAAATGAATTTTCTCTTTAGTTTTTATTTTCATAAAATATTACAAAAGTTTTTAAGAAGAACTACCTTCAAAAAGTGACAAAGGTCGATCAGGAGTTCTGCATCCATGTTTCCCATAGTCAAAGCACCATTCAGCAAACTGAAAAAATAAAATAAATAATAAATATATTATGTCTTTTACAGTGAAGACAAAAAATATCCAGCGATTAAATTTTAATTCAGAAACACAATTTTTAAGTAATAATAATTTAAATTTGAACAGAATTGCAAAGAAAGTATAATGGAAAACATAGGGAATTATATTTAACCAATTGTAAGAAATAGATGAAGTGAAGGGAAAAAATTACATTTAACTATAAAAACCCCACAAATATTTCTCATTAGTTTGAAACAGACTTAAATCAATGGTTTTAGAAATTTTATTACATAAAAATAAAATTTTTTCTCTCAAAAAATTACAATAAATAATTATAATTTAAAAAAAAAATAATTATAATTTTTAACAATAAAGAAAGAAATATTTTTTTAGCTGCATTAAAATGAAGATTATAAAAAATAATAAAATTTTTACTTTTCAAATTTTTTTACTAATATATGAAAATTTTTCATAAAATAGATTTTAATAGGGTAACTAAGCTCTTAAATTAAGTATGCATTAGAGATGAGCATTTTTAGAGGCCAAAGTTCACCTGAACCCGAAGAATAAAAATGGCAGCCTGTCCATTTCTGACATTTAACATGCTAGGTAAATGCCAAAATTTGCTAAGATTTAAAGCTGAAAATTGCGACAGGAAATTCAAAATAAAATATTTTGTTGAGACTAACTTATTTACGGATAAAAAGACGCAATATTTCTCAAATTTTTACAGCTAATGATTTTATTTGAATTTTTTTTTTAATACTTAATAACTGGACTGAATAGATATAAGTACATTTGAAATAAGTTAAAAATGTTATGAAATTTTTATCATGCTCAAGTTCAAATATTTCTTTTAATAATTGGACACATCTCACATGTGTAGCATGCATACACAAATAAACTTATCCGAAATGCATAGTGATAAGTAGCGGTAATCAATCAGTTATTCTGCGACCGAGAGACAGTATTTTGTTATGATTTATAAATAAATAAACTTGTATTTTGGTATAATCTTAACAGTGATTAATTAATGTTTTTAATTTATTAAATTCTAATATGTTATGAATTTAGATACGTGATGCTGCTGCAACTTTATGCACTGTTCAGAAGAAACTAACAGGAAATGAGTGGAAGTAAACATAAAGGTTTGCTGCTTATAGCCACCATTAAAAGTCAGTTCTTCATCAGTCTGTAAATCTCTTTGTATTGACTACAATTTAGAATAGCATTGTTTGTCGTGACTTTGGCGTTAATCAGCCAAATTTAGTGTCAAGAGTAAGTTGTTTTAATTATTTTTCTTGTCATTTTTTTCCCAAAAGAGAAAGAACTTATTTTTTTTTAAATAAAGAATAAATTTGTCTAATTTAATATCAGAAGAAAGATTGGGACATATTTTTTAACGTCATTGAAAAAATATAATCCGCAAGTAGACAAAAAAGTTAAATAAATATTTTAATGTCATATTAATAAAACAAAAAAATAATTAAAAACAAATGAATAAGAAACTAATGCATTGTAATCCAACTATTGAAAATAGTGAAACCCATAATTATTTGTCTTAATGTTATAATAGAATAGTAAAAAATGTAACAAACCTATTAAAGGTTAAACCTAATAATAAAAATTAAAAAAATGAAGAAATGTATTAAAAAAATTAAGTAACAAATTAAAAAAATATTAACACATAAAAAAATAAGAATATATTTATACATTCGAAAGAGAAAATAATATTTTAAACATACAAAAAATTCTTGAAAATGAGTAAAAAATGCAATAAAATAATATGCGTCAAAACTACAAATTTCCTCATTTCAAGCATAATCAATAAAATCTCTAAAAGCACACATAAAAAAAATCACGTGTAGTTAAAAGTATTAAAATAACGTGTTTAAAGAAATTATTAATTAAAGACTCTTCTGAGGTATAAATTATAGTTTAGTATTTAACATCATATTGCCTATCAGGAGAAAATTACATTTATTACAATTAAATAACTGTAATGCGTAAAAAAATTCAATTAGATTCTTATTATCCTTCAAACATATTAAAAATTTCAATCTCACATTAATTTGTATTTTAAAAATAATCTAACCTTAACAGCACGCCATAAGTATTTGACATCTTTTGTGACTTGAAAGAGCCTCAAATGAGTATATCCATTGCCTGCAACCCCGTGGCAAATACCGTATCCTTTTCTGAGCAATCCTCTTTTCCAAACAACATCACTACACTGTTTTGAAGCTTCTAAATACTTTTCCTCATGGAATGTCTAAAAAAAAAAAAACTTTTTTAAACCATCAATAAATATTTTTATAAATAATAATAATTTTTTTCAAAATATTTCTTTATAAAAAAATAAATGACAAACTTTAAGGCATAATAAATAAGATTTTATTTTATAACCGTCGTTGAACAGCCGACCCAATTTTTGCGTTTACGACTACCAATGTTCGACTTCGCAGCTTTGTAATTTTGAACCCAATCCAGAAGACAAGGGAACTCCTGGATCAAGTATTGGGAGAAATTTGCCTTCGTGGAGGACTTTCTGATGGAACTAACATGCATTTGCGTTACATGAAGAAGGAGACCACGAGAACCTCCCACGGTTAGCTTGATGGCAAGGGGACTCCAAACCATGATCTGTCTACCACTTAGGATATTCCACCTCAGCACTGTGGTCAGTGCAAGCCGGATGCGGAATTCGTATCGACCAGCCATTGCTGGGATCGAACCCGGTTCACCTCATTGAAAGGCAGTAAATAAGATTTCAAAAATTGGGAATAACTCTCTCGATACATAATGAGAAAGAATTTAACATCTCCCTAAACCAATTTTTTATATATATATTTATAAGCGAAAGGCACAAGCTTATACACAATCGCCACGAAGGCGATACACAAGCTTTATATATATAAGCCTAAGTTCAGGGAAGAAATGCGTAAACTAAAACAAGAATTAAAATTTTTTGTAATATCTTCCATCCAGATTAATGTTGATAGAAAATTAGAGTAGGTGTTATGTAAAGAATAAAATTAAAGCTTTCAGTTAACTATCAGAAAGAAATCACGCTTAAAATTTTCAGATTGAGTTGTAAATCAACAGATTTGTTGTCTTAAGATTAAGATAGGTGCTTTTAACGTTAAATATCTAAAAACAATTTATTCTTTCTTAAGAGGCCCTTCCTATTCTGATCAAACTGCCGAAGGAGTGGAAACAAGGAGAGAAAATTCTAAACATATTGTTAATCCTCAATATTTAATTTTCTCAAATAAACTGATGATGTAGAGTTACTCAATTTGGCAGTATCTTTCTATACATACAAGTACGTACAAGACCATCACCCAATCACAATTTGAGATATAAAGCATGTGGTATTTCAGATTCTTTATTAACTTTTTATAACAAAATTACGTCAATATAGTTTTGCAATCAACAATTTAAGGTAGTTAAATAATTTACAGTTGCCAATTTGCTAATTTCTGATAAGAATACTTATTTTTATACAATTGAAGATAAAAGAGATTTTCAGCATGATCCAAATCGTTTTTTTAAAGCTGTAATGAAATTCGATTTTAAAAAGAACTAAAAACTTGAAGATTTAAATTACTTACTCAAAACCACAAATCGCACCATTTCATTGCTTTAAAGTTTTGAGGAAACATTCATAAAATTATCAAGCGTTATTTCGCCTAATTTAATAAAGTGATCCCTTCATTTTTTACCTACTTTGAAAAGTATTGTGTTGTCTAATAATACTATAGCATCAAAAGTTGGTTAAAAACTATTTAAAAAAAAACGTGAAATAAAAATTAAACCTAAATTCGAAGATGGCCAGGGTAGAGGATGACACTGATTATAGCAAATACAGTGGATTCTTCTCCTTAATTTAAATCATGATTTCATATTGACCAAGTTTACGACAAAGCGTAGCTTTTTTAGTTTTTGTGCCAGGAAACAAAAACTAACTAGCTACATTAATTAAACATATAAGTTAAAAGAGTTTGGACAGCTTAAAACCATTGCAGTAAAATATAATTTTTTTTACTCAAAATTTGTCTTAATTACAATTTAATTTCAAATAATAATGAAATAAGAGCCGTGTGACAAACAGCACTAATGTTAGTGAAATTTATTCCACATATTTATTGATAGTGGTACAATTGAATATCCACAATAGTGACACAGGCTTTGTAATTCTAATTATTTAATTGTCTAACTTCACTATTCACTTCAAGTAAGTTAGGGTCAATCAGCATAATTTCTTTATGGAGTTGTAATTTTCACAATCATTTACACTTTGTGGTCAAAAATTTCAAATCTAATTTAACATGTCTTGCATACATGTAAGGACAGTTTTTCTATCCTTTAACAAAATATGACAACTTGTTTAAGCTATAATCTCTCAAACACTAGAATGATATGAATGAATAAATTTTTATAACAATGATAATAAACACACACATGAAGAAATTAGCTGTTTATAAACAGTGACAATAGAATTAAGGTTAAAGAAATTAAAAACAAACAAAACAAAACTCAACTAACTTCATAAGCCAGTAAAAGAAGATGTACAACCCCAGGAGCACCATGGCACCAGTGAATAAGTTTATCAGTTTTGCTTCCAAGTGAAGAGGGAAAATTTCCAGAAGGATACTGAAGGCTTAAAATCCAATCAATACTTGGTTTCACCAAATCAGTTATTTGTTCAGATGTTAAGTACTCTTTGGCCTAAAAATGAGTCATAGCAACCTTATTATATTTCATTAAAAATCAAATCAAAGACTTTTTTTGGAACAATGGCAATTCAAATAGCAAAAGTCTTTTTATATTTAACTAAAAATAAAATCAAAGACTTTTTTTGGAACAATGGTAATGCAAATGGCAAAAACCTTATTATATTTCATTAAAAATCAAAGACTCTTTTTTTTTGGAACAATGCAAATAGAACTTTCTTTTCCTTTTGCTCACTATGAGGATAAGTATACATAAGGACAATCAAATATTCAAATCATTCAAAAACGGGCACACTAACAATATTTCTACTAATATTTTTTAAAAAAGAGAAAAATAATAAAATATAAAATGAATTATTCATTTGTTTCAATATAAAATGAATTATTAATTAAAATAAATGGATATTATTCATTTATTAATTTTTTTAACATTTCTAAATAACTTTTTGTTTATAAACATGTGAAATTTCAAGAATTCATAAATTGTTTCACACAAACTTGGCAGAGAGAAAGAAGCTTGAGAAGGGCATCTTAGATATTTCTAAAATATTTTTGCATAATTTCTAAACATTTTTTTATTAATATAAATATTTTCAAAGAAAAACATAGTTATATTAGAGAACAGCATTACTCGATCAGCTGTTAAATATAAACTTATGCTGAAAAATTTAGTTTTTATCAAAATTAAAGGAGATAAAAAATTCTAAAAGCTAGGGAAAAAAAACACAGTTGTTTTAACAGTAATAAATTATTTTTACTAGGGAATAAAAAGGGTTCATTGATTTAAATCAGCTTGATATAAATTACAACTTGAATCAAAATTTTTTTAAAGATTCAAATCATTGCAAAAATTAGAAAGCATTTTAATGTGAAACTATTTTTGTAAAAATGATTTTCACATTTTTAAAGTTTATCACAAACGGGTTGGTCGCTATGGCCTCCGGTCACGCTCCAACCAACCAAAATCACCATAGTGATATTTTTCCTCCTCTTGTTGCTGTTTTGTTCTTGTTTTAAAATGTAACTAAGTAGTGTGTTGTTAGAAGGGAGATTAAAAAAACTATCTCCTATAATTGTATGATGTATAAATTGTGTTTTAACATTTTTAATAAAGACTTATAACTGAAGCTTTTAAAAGTGTTATAAGTTTACAAATATTGCTGCCCTATTCTGATTTTCTTTTCTCATAGTGTGATTTTTTTTCTTTTCGTATTAGATTTGTGAGTCAAATTATTCCATACTGCAATATTTTGACAACTTATCATCTAACTATTATAAGGCATCACAATTCATCAATTTGTTGTCATAGCAATTTTTTACACATAAAAAAAGAGAGGTTTGTGATTTCTTTTTAACCTGTTTTTTTCAGTAGCTAATAATGATAAATTTTGATTCCATTTTCATTAATTTTAGTTTTGTATTTGCATACATTATGCATTGCTGTAAAACAATTTTCAATTCAGCATTGCTTGAAATGTATTGTTAGAATTTACTTTAATAATAGTTCACTTTTAATTACATTTATAAAATTTAGTTTACTGTAAAACAAATATTCTCAAAGTACTTTTCTCAAATCTGATTTAAATTTTTAAAAATTTTGAATCTAGGGAGTGAAGTTAAATCATAACTGGGTGATTGAATTTGAAATGTTAAGAATACTTTTAACATGAAAATAAAAAGATAACAAGCTTNAGTTATTTCTTGTTTAAATGTAATATAAATATTAATAAGTTTAAATATTTTGCATAATTTCCTCTATTTCCAGCTCAGTTAAAAATTTTCGACGCTTCGACATTCTAACGGTAAAAAGAAAAACAATTTAAGCCTACAAGATCTAATTATCCACTAAAAACTAAACCGAAAATCGAAAGTAGCGAGAGAGAAAAAAAACTCCCTTACTTACTGTAAATAAATATCACGTGCTAATTTAAAGAGCCCTCATAAAACATTCCCCCCCTCCACTCCCTCCCCTAAAAACCACGTGAATGTACTTTCATCTTGAGTAGAAGGTCAAATCTACATGTATCTGAAACTATATGGACATACAATGCCATCTTTTGGAAGAAATTTCATTTTTTAAAACGTTCCGAAACGCTGGCACAAATAAGTGACGGTCGGGGGTGAACGAGAAAACTCTCTGACACGCGGGTGTGTCGGCCGGGAAGTGAGCGCGTTTCTTGCTGTCACATATATGTGACAGTCGGCTCGAAAGGGTTAAGAATACTTTTAACATGAAAATAAAAAGATAACAAACTTCTCAAATATTGTAGATTAAATAGCATTATTACAAAACATTAGGAGAATTACTTTACATTTAATTATTATAAATAAATTAAATGATAAAAAATGTACCTGCAAAAGCATGTATAAAATACCAGCGAATCCATGAGCAGCTCCAACATATGGTGATCCATGCCACTCATAAAATAAGGGAGCCTTATCTGTATTGCTAAACTTTTTTGCCAACCTTTGTCCAGATTCGAAAATTGTTTTAATCACCTTAAACAAAGCAACCATTATAGATTTCAGAAATAAAAATTCAAAGTAATAAAATAAAAATAAGCACAAAACAAAATATTAAATCTACAAAGTGTTAAATGCATTACATTCTTCCGTTGTTAGAAAAACACACAATAGATTGTTAGTTTCAAGTAATAAGATTTTATATTTGCAACAGTACTTAGGTTTTTTTTTCCTTTTAGAGAGCGATTTCTTTAACAAAAAAGTATAACTTCCATTAGCATCCTATTTTAAGGATCCCAGTTGTCAAAAAATCAACTAAATGCAAAGAACCTTTTATGCTTCATTGCTTAAATTATGGGAAAATATATCCTCGCATGATTAAATAAGTTCAATCAATCTAATTTAAAACGAAAAGGCCATGGCAGACTGTTTATTACAATATTGTTGATCGAAATTATCAATAATAAATGCTGTAATCACAAAAATTAATTAAAAAATGTGGGAAAAGGGGTTAAATTTTATGATTTTTTTTATTTACACTAAAAAGAGAAATATATGCATTTTCTTTACGATTAAACTTAGTAACTTTCTTCAGCATTTTTCGATATGCAACACTCGGCATTAAATATATTATCACTAATACCTGCTTGGGACACAGCAAATGCAGCACTATGCTGAGCACAAAGCAATTTTATCAATACTCTTTTCTCTAGTACTCTTTCAACATTTTAAACCATGTTTTCTACCATAAAAAGATTTCTAATGTTTCTATAAAGTTGAAACTATAGTTGGAACTAAGTCACACTGTTAACTATAGTGTTTAAACTGGCATAAAATTTCCACTTTTATTTATTCATTTTTTTTGTATGAAGAACATTGAATTTATGTCTCATTAACTATGTAGATTTTGATAAAATGAAGCCTTCTAAAATGTAAGAGCATTTCTGAAATATTTGGTCAAGAAAATACAAGCAGACGCATGAGCAACAAGAGGTAAAAACTATTTAAAGATTTGCATTGCAACATCGTGTTAGTCATAGTGATAACCATCCATGTTTTTTTATACATCTTTTGTAGAGCAATCTATCATTACTATCAAGCAGTCGATTTCATTATTACAGATTTCAGCTGTTTTATTATCATTATTAAAACTGCAGTGGTTATCCTTCTTTTTATAAATAATCAGAAGAAAAAATATCTTGGGTTCATTTAACTTAAGAAACAAATGAATAAAGCACAAATAAAGATACAAAAACTGATATATTATGGTTCTAATTCTGAAAACAAAAATCTTCCTTGGTGTTGAGACACAGAATGACATCAATCGAAATACAATCAATATCTCGCCAGTATTAATAAATACTAACAATCAATGTTTCATTTAAAAGACTGTTATATAATTTTAAAAAAAAATTAACACATTTCTCAGTATCTTTAGAGATAATGTAATTAGAAGATCACAAAATAAAACATACTGCAATAAAACATGTACTAATTTAAACAGAAAAAAATATTTAAACTGGTAACTTTATAATACCTCTTTGATTATATTATCTCGGAATTCATCTGCTCCAAGATGTTTATTTAAGAAAAGTAAAGAATACAGAAAACCCACTCGGCCATATAGAAGTTCATCAGGGCACTCAGAAGCACATGCTTCACGCTCCAAATTTTCAAGCCTATATAAAATAGGATAACTATTTTCACAGAATAATACTTTGGGTAATATTTAACTAAATATAATAGATCAGGAACCATTTAAACTTACTCCAATTTTAAAAAATTAAAAAACTGGCTGTCATGTATTTAACATATTGTGTTACATACCTAACACCAAGCTTTTAATTTTTATACTTATGTAAGTTACAAGAAATTAGAATAAGAGTAAATGACATCAAATTTTTTTTTTGCAAGAGCTATTATAACTGCTTGATTATTATTATCATTATTTTTTAACTGAGTTACAAGTTTTTAAAATTTGCAAGATACAATATTTGAAAATGGAGGAATTGCTCTCTTGTAAAAGTTTCCAACTCACTCAATAATCTGTAAGCAAAAGCTACCTACTCTAGACATAGATATTTTGAATAAAAATAGTTGCTCAAAATAAAAGGGAAAAAAATGAATGGGCTTATTTTATTTTTCAGATATTTTAAAAATAAATATGCGTGTTTGACAAGCTTACTATAATGACAATTTTACCTGATATTGTGATTATAATAGAGTTTAACTGCATTATTTTACAAATATACTGATAAACTAAGCATTTTTATGGAACTTTATGAAAACTATAATAACTTAACGAGTTCTGCTGGTTGTGGAACTAATTCAAATCCTTGTTAAGTATTTTCTGTTTATATAACTTAAATAGAATATTAAGATTTCGTAAAAAAATTGCTTCTTTCGTTCCATTTTTAACAAATCAGTGCAACTTATAAATTATCAAAAGTTATACACTTCTCTTTATTAATTTTCTCAGGTATTTTTTTTTCAAATGGAAAGTATGATTTCCTTCTTTCTTTGCTTGTTATAAATCACCCATTAAATATTAAATGAATTTTATTATAATTTGAAAAAATTCAAGATTTATGAAGTGATTTTCTTTTTAAAACTATTTTTATCTTTAAAATATAGGTTATTTTCAATACATACATTAAAAAAACCTCATTGCATATACTGTACCTTCTAGCCAGGTCCATACTTTCTCTTGTCATTCCTTTACGATGGAAAAGGGCAGAAGCAATAGCCATGGGACCTGAGACTCCACACAAAAAAGTCACATCCCTTTTTCTCAAAAAAGTAATGTAAGGTTCAACGTATGACAGAGCATCTTTTAAGAAATCTTTCTTTCCTGAACATAACTTTATATCCATAAATCGCATGTAAAGAAGTGCAATACCTAAATAATTCAAAGAAAAGATGAAAAGAAAGTGTGAAAAAAAAACTTCTCATTTTATTTTAAATAAAGAAAAATCTCAACATATAATAAATAACAAAACTATCTATTCTTGATAATTACAATTAAAAAAATAAAAGGTTCAAAATTTACAAGAGCAGTAAAGGTACTAAATTCTAAAAAACTGATATATATATATATATATTCTGATACTTTCTACAAAAATTTAAAATTAGACATCATTAAATCAGCACTAAATTTTAAACACAACTGAAAACTAACAATTGTTAAAATAATATCAATTTAAATATTTTCTTTTTGGATCTTGTAAGAAAGCAAAGCCCATATTGTCATTGAAGATAGAATAACAATCTTTAAATTATGTAAAACACTAGTTTGAATTGTTTTACCAATGACATATTTTAACATTAAAGATTAATACATAACAGGAACCCATTAAAAATATGAACAGCCATTTTTATTCCATATTTTCTACAGTTAACATTTGAAAACTTTGGAGTATCAAGAAAACTTTTGCATGAATAAACAATAAAGAACAAATTAAAGATACAAAAATTTAATCAGTTAAGATGGGAGAGCAGTTAAAGACTGAAGAATCTCTTATGCTTCAGCTGGTTAAAATTAAGACTAAAAATCTCTTAAGCTTGAAGCCAATATTAAATGTTATACAGGCAATGGCACTTTACCTTTTTTTTTAAAAAAAAAAAGTTAAGAGTTTGGGACACAACGACATACCAAACAATGTCCTTTAAAGTAAAAAAAAAAAAAAAAAAACTTAAGTGCAAGAAGGACTAAGCAGTGTCCATTAGACATAAGTGTAGTAAATCCTAATATCTATGAGACTCGTAGGTATGGAGGGAAATTATAAATCGACTATGTCAACCTTCATCTATCAAAAGGTACCTCCAGTTAAAATTAAGTTAACATGTCTTATATACTAGTGATTTGGTATTCAATATTTATAGTGGTAGTTACACTACAGTACCACCTGAGGAAAGGTTAATTAAGTATTAATGTATTGCTTTATTAATATATAAACTTGTGCTTAAACTGAAAAAAAAAATTGGTTGACCTTGTTTTACCTAGATTAATAATAGAGATTTTAAGATAGGTTTACCAAGATTGGATTAAACTGTGTGGTAGCCATTTAAAGATAAACATATTGGAGATTCTTTCAGGGGTAACCAACTAGAAAATGGAACTTTAACTCATCAAATGTAGATATATCTTTAATTCTTACTTTATAGGTAACATATAGAAGCAAATAAATTTTATTCTTAATTTTTTTTCTTCAGTGAACTGGTTACAATAGCTTTTCAGCATTTATTTTTATGAAATATATTTACATACATATTACATACATTTAAAAAAAGAAAAAAATTACCTGATGTGCCTGTATAGACACTTGTGTCAGATGTAGTCGATTCTGCAGCTAAATGCTTTTCCAGAGTTTGGAGAAGTACAAAAACATTTTCTTTTAAAGGTCCTTCAATTTGATCAATGAGCTACAAAAAATAACAATAATAAGTAATTTTTTGTTATTTTATTAAAATGCATTTAAGTAATTAAAAAAACAATAAATTCATATACATATTTGAATCGAAGTTCAAAATAATGAAAATTATTTATATCATTCAAAGGACAGGGAAATTGGGACAGATTATTTTTATATCAGACACAAGGGTTTTTCAATTTGAAAATGAATATTTTGAACAAAAGCTGATTTTCACAGAATTCTTTTTAGACTTGAACATGAAAATTTAAATTCAATTTTTTTAGTTAATTTTAAATATGATACAAGAAAATTAAGTTTATTTTTAAATTTATAAGGTATAACCTTTTCTTGTAAAGTAATAGGTTAAAAGCCAAGCAAGTTTATATAAATATTTTTTTTTTTTTTTTTAGAAACAAACTAATCAAACAACAGAGTGGGTGATAAATGGATCTGGCTGTAGTGATGTAATGCTTTTTTCTATTAAGAGGTCCTTAATTAAAGTCAAACTCTAAATACTGATTTTTACCTTTTTCTCCATTTCATAAGCGTGGATTAAATTTGCAAAAATATTTTTAATTTTATTTTTACAATAGTAGCAAATTTGTTATTTCAAATTATGTCTAAACAAGGAAGAATTGAACATGACAAACAGAAAATTTACACTTTGAAATGCATCCTGTTTAATTTCACAGAGTCAGGGGTGATTGTGAGCCCAAGTCAAAATTCCGGAAAATTTCTTGAGTAAAAAAAAAAGAAGTTCAAATCGAAAAATTAGAAAAAAAAATTTAAGCAAGGTTTTTTCCTTTTTCCCAATATTTCTTAATTTACTTAAAATATATTTAAAATTTTACACATACCTATGATGACGTGAAGAAGTAATTGAAATTTACAAATATGTCTTTCTTTCTTGAGTTTATGATTATAATAACTATTTACTGATAAAAAATTAATATTAATCTTGAATATAAGCTTACAAAGTATCTCTCTGGCTCTCCCTTACAAACAAATAAAATAAACTGTGTTTTTAAGTTCCACCTTTGAAAAATTGATTTCCGGAAACTTTTGTGATCAATGATTTTTTGAAACGTCTGAACCTTCAATCTCCGGAAACTTCCGGATGACGGTTAGCGAAAAATCCGGATCACAATCAGCCCTGCAGAGTTTAATAAAAATATTTATTTAAAATACCATAATTTGCAACTTGAAAAATGTGCTAATTTTATCATTTTCAAAAATTTAAAACAAAACTATGAGTAGAAATTTCTAAAAAAGCAACATAAGAAATACATTTGATTACAATAGGTTAATCTAGTTGGAAAAGACATGAAAACAACATGAATTATTTAGCAATATTACCCTATTTGTTTCAAAATCAAAAACCTCCAAACTCTCATCATAATCCTGAAATGGATTTTTAAATTCTCTGTCACTCATATTTCTGAAATTAAAAAGTGAAAATGTATAAAGACTGCTCAAATTAATTACAAACATTTAAAATCAAACATTATGATCAAATGTAATTTGTAAAGGAATCTTAATAACAAATTATCACCACAACAAAATTTTTTATAAAAATATACTGCAGCTAAATATCCATAACCTTTAATAGTCATTAATAAGAAGCGCCTATATCAACAGCAAGAGGCAAAGATTATTTTCATGACAAGTAACATGGTTTCCCTATTAACAAAGTAAGAATTGCTCAATATTCACAATGTGATCAGCTTCAATTACCGTAATATTAAATAAATTTTAATTTTATAAATAATTATTAAACATTGAGGCTTATATAATTAGTTAATTCTAAACAGTTCTTAATTCCAAACAGAAATAAATAATTTTATCATTAGTTAATTATGATTTACTAATTAAATTATATTTTAATTAATCAAATTATTTAGTTATTAGTACATTGAAAAATTTTAGAATTTAATTTGACAGTTTTTAATAATATTCAGAGATTGGTGTTCAATTTAAAGGCATTGCAGACAGCAAATTAGTTCACTCCGAATTAAATTTATATAACTATATTATAAATAAATTAATGAACATAATAACAACATGTAATATAATAATTATTTGAATAACCATTAACTTTAAAATGGTTGAAACCAAAATAAACAGCATATGTATTCTTTGCCTTTAAAATACATCACCAAATTCATCTTGCTGTAATATTGGAATTTAAAAAAACTATTAAGGAAATTAATTGCATTAACTGCAAAAGTAAAAAAAAAAAGATCAAAACATGGATTTACGATGGTATTGAGAGGGTGAAAAAGTGATTATTTAAATGCATGATTCAAAATTTCCATGCGAAATGATCATATTAAAAACGTATTCAACCTGACTGTAGGCAAATAAAAAAAGTGAAAAATATATCACATTGATAAAATAATTTTTCTGTTACAAATTGGAATTGGCACCAAAAATTGCTACTCATTAAAATATAAGCTTAAGAAAATAGGGGAAAAAAAACATTTTTTTAACAAAAAACCGTTCATTTAATTCTTTGTCATTAATTCTTCACATTAAATTTCTTTGCTATTTTAGAATTACTTTTTAAATTATCAATTTTAAACATTTGTGTTTGCCTCAGTAGCTCATTAATTCAGCCGAAGTTGTAATATAATTTATTTCTTCAGTCTAGTCTTTTGAAGTTTATAAAAAAAGTAGTTAGTCAAGAGAATGAGAATTTAAGAATAAAAAAAGGGGTGTTGGTACATGAAGAATAAATGTCTCGTGAACGAGATTTAATAGAAGTAACGAAATTTAAATCTTAGATTAGCGGAACTCTGAAAAAATTTAGTCTGAAATATAAATTATATTGAGGGGAGATTTCCGTATCCTAATCTGTAGCAGAATAATCGCCAAGTCTTGGAAACATCCAGGCGGCGGCCCGCAAGAAACTTAAAAAAAAATCTCAGAAAGGGACCAACTTCAAAAGGTATAACTAGTAACTACCCCCGGGCGCGATATTCCACTTTGACTAACTCTGGGGCACTCTAATTAGCACTGTTTGGCGAGCGAATTCTTAACCCGCCAAATTAATGAATCTCACGCTTTCTCGAATCGTACGAGATTAAACTTCAACCGCTATTTTTTTTTTTTATATGAGTGCAAGTAGTGTTTGTTTATGTAATGATCGGTGGAACTCGTTTGTACAAAAATTTGTTAATTTAAATGAACAATAAAATTACTTAAGATATATAAATTGTATTTTTCGTATGTTTTAGTTTCACGTTAATTGTTTCATATAACGCAACTTCTTTTTTAATTCAAGTAACGTAAAAATGCAGCAGTAATTAATTATACAACTATATGTTTGTATTTACGTGGCGCAACGCAATTTCATTATATTTATAAATAAACATTTCTACCATTTATGATTTCATCTATAGAATCATATTTCCGCTTAGAGCTAAATGCTGAATTTTTTTTTTTAATAAATTTGCTGCAAATATAATTAATATCAAGAAGTTTAGCACTAAACCTAAACAACAATTACCATACCTTTTATAAAAAATTACGGCTAATGTATCCATATTTCAATCAGTTGTTGAAAATTATTCTTGATTTCTTCTTTGCAATTTAAAAAATAACTCATCAATATCAAAAATAAGACCTGAATTAATACGAACAATTTTATCTATGCCAATTATTTAAATATTTACTTATTAGTTACTAGTCATATTAATAATAAAAAGTAATTAAAATCTGAATAAAAAATGTCTTCAANAAAAATTTGCAAGTTTAAAATCTATTTGGCACCTTGGCGATTGTAGTTGGCGTGACAGATCAATATATGGAAACTTGTTATTGATTCATGGAAGAATCACATATGCCTAAAGAGTGATAAAAACAACAATGGTGTATCATGTGCTTTAGTGTTGATGATAAAATATTTATCTATCATGAAAACGAAATATACATATCTTTAACTTTTATACAGAGAAATCCTTGTCTGACACAGAAAAAAAACCCGGACATTAGGTGCTGGACAATGTAGAAAAAAGATCTCGGCCTGTTAGGTGTCCGAAATTGGAGAACAGTGACTTAGGATAGACAGCTATTGCGGAAACTGACCAGGTACGGCCTAGGCCTGTTCTAGGCTTTAGTGCCGAAAATATTTAAAAAACTAAAAATATTACAAATGATTTTATTTTAAAATTTTAATTATTATCGAAGATTAATTTTTTTTCTCCATTTTACTTGTAGTCTTAGAATATTTATTACTACTGGGAAAATAAGATTGGCCTTAATAATAATACAGTACTATATCAAAAATTTGAAACAAAAGTGACTTCAAATTTAAAATGCACCACATGTAATGACTCAGACACAATAGGAATGAAATAGAAATAAAAGAGAGCAATTTTATAACCTACAAAAGAATTCTTACTAATATACGTTTTGTTTACATTAACGGTTAGCGGTGTCGCGAAATTAATCTTTAGATTTTATTTCCAGACAAATCAGCAAGATTTAAACCAGTTGTCGTTCGCAAATATTTCAAATCTATCGAAATAATCGGGTTAAATAAACCGAAAAGTATGAAAAAGTCGAAACAGCTTCAGTTTCAGTGTTTCGATTAAACCCTAGTACGCTGTTGATTGCTTAATTTTGTTTCACTTTTCATTAGACAAAGCAAGTTGTAGCCCAAATAAAACTGCTTCTATTAAATGATGCAGTCAATTACCTAAACTCGTCTACTTCGTAAAATGATTATCAATCGAATAATTGATGTAAATAGAAAATTGTTTGGTTCCGGTATCCGCCTTGAAATATGGTTTATTTTAAAATACTTGTAAATATTATTCATATTCACTCTGTTAATTTTATTACTTATTCTAATTTAATTTATGCATCTTCTACTATTTCTTAACTCTGTGGACGAATTTTGAGAGAACTGAATGGTTTTTTTTTCAAAAATTCCTGATCTCAGTTTATTATTGCAATGCGTTCTTTCGTAAAATGTCATACTATTGTGGAAAATAAAATAAAAATCTGATATTTTCTATAATGTCTGTTGACACTTCAGAGAGCGGGATGTAGATTATGCTTTTATTTTTGTTATGTTGGTTTTTCATGATTTGTGCTTCTCATCACAAATTTGATATTTTTCGGAGCAGAAAAACCTACTAAATAAAGATCCCCATTGCATGTATTAATAAAATTCACCTTTTACAAAAAAAAAATCCCCGAGGTCAGATATTGTACTATATTTATATATATATAATTGCAGGTGCTTAATTATTAAAGATGCTAAATTAAGAGGTGCTTAATGGGGGCATAATATGGTTTTTTCCACAAACCACGAAAATTACTTCTAAAGCTTGGTATGAGCTAAAAATATAGCAACATAAATAAAATATTCCTATTCTTAGATTGTGTTTGTAATAAAAGCGATAGAAATTATAGCATTTTTACTTATGTATATATCATGCCGCATATTTCCCCATAATATTATTGAAACTCGGTCAGATGTTATAGTATAATATAAAATGTTTCTTTACCAAGCAAAATAATTATAGACTCAAGGGGTGCATAGTGGGGCATAATATGGTTCCCTTGGCAAACTGCAGAAATTACTTAAAAAACCATTGCTCCCACCTTATAATCTCTTAACATTTAGTTTTTGAAGTGAAGTTTTTAATCAAATTTCTTAGTCAACATACACGATAAGACGTTTGTTATTTTCTAGAAATACTAATCATTTCTGTCAAAGCGTAAATTTGCAAAAAATTAAGTTAACATAATGTTTTTTTTATTCTCTTGTTTAATAATTTGAAATGCATAAGAATATTAGTTAAGTAATTACACTTTGAACAAATTGAAAGATAATATATTTGAGGTCAAATTGATTATAAGTTTTAAATTATAATTTTATTTAATTAATAGTTTTTCAAATTATGTATTGTTACACATTATTTGAAGGCTACTCAGTGGTTGGAACCAATATACTACAAATAATAAAACAACTGTAGTTGCTACTTTTTTTTTTTTAAATTTAATTGTGTGATTCAAAAAATCCCTAGTTTGTATAAATTCCTGGCATCTTCTGATGATATTAGTTTAGTTTTCAAACAATGCAATGAATTTCATAAATATTGTAAAACATTGTAAAATTTTAAATAAAATTTTTCGATAATGAACTAAAATAGAAGACAACCATATTTCACATTTTTTATTTATTTTTTCTATCAAAAAGAAAAGTTAAAAATTTTTATTTTTGCCCTTCTATAATGTTCTTAGTTTCCTTATAAATTATTATAGTAATTTGTATCTTTTTAATTTCAGTAAGTGCCGATAAAATTCGATATGGATCCACCTAAAGTTACAGGACTTTCTCCAAAGGAAGGAGAACCAGGAACTAAAGTAGTTTTAAGAGGAGAAAATTTAGGAGTTTCTCAACGTGATCTTTTAAGTATGAGAAATTTTACTTTTCATAAATATAGTTTTTTAAAATTTTATTTAATTTTTATATTATATATATTTTTAAGTATTTTAGTACCTCTTGCAATTTTTTGAATTTAATGTTACATTTAGAAACCTTAAATTTTTAAATATTGTAATTTTTAAATATTATTATCAAAAATTAAATTTTCTGTATTCATTTAAAATTTATTTTTTGTAAATTTCCAGATTTTATTTCGAGTAAAATTTTTAAAATTGTTGTTTAATTTGTAGTTTTTTTTTTAACCCTTTTAAAAGGACAGTTACTTTATTCAAAAAAGAGAGAAAGTGGTAAGACAATTGCTAGGATTTATTTTACAGAAACAAGGAAGTTTAGTCTACCATGTTGTAATGTTAGCATAAATGAACTTGCAGTAAGTTACACTACTTTTTTAAAGTGGTAGGTAACAGAAAAAAATGTCCACTTGGTATAAACAAATATGATCTGCCACTTTTTTCAGATAGTAATTTTTCATATATGTAGACTTGGGCATATTGGTTAAATTTCATACATATTCTGATTTTATTTATCTATTTTTGATCTGCTTACATTAACTGTTTTTTTAAATATTATTAATAGGAAGGTTTGCTTTTGCTTACATTAAGTCTTAGTATCCTTTAAAAATCAAAAATCAAGTTACAAACCCTGTTTGAAAATATTCTGATTCCTTTCCTTATTAAAACCCTGTCCATAAGGATGTTTTTTGAAGCTCTTTTGCTTAGCAAACTAAATTTGAGAGCATTTAACTATTCATATACTTTGAATCACTTTAAACTATTCATATACTATATACTTAGTTTTAAATTCAACAAATATTTAAAATTTTATTAAACTTTTTAAGAAATCTCATTGACAAATTTTAAATTTTTGCATTATTTTATGAGCATTAAAAAAACAGCTGTTGAAGCAGCTGTTCAAATATTAAAAAATTTGGTCACTAACTTTTTTCATTTTCTAAAGTCTTTAATATTCTTTCTTTAAATTGATAATTTGCACCTTTTTCATATTCAACAAAGACCAAAGAGGGCCAAAATACAACATAACATTAATGAACAAGGCTAACATGTTGATAAGAATTTTTTTATTGAGCATTCATTTTTTTTCTTTAATTTTTTAGATGGTTTTCTTTTTTTAATCATTATTTTATGAATTTCGAATAATATTTTTCAGTTTAGAAGTATTTTATTTGTGAATTAAAATTTGAAAATTTCAAATATATGTAAGGTTTGCATTGAATCTTGTTATTTTAAATTTAATAACAATTATTTAATAATTTGCACTTTAATAACAGTTGTTGATGTTGAACAAATTTTTTCACGATATGGGAATTTTCTTTTGGGTGTGGGCAATCTTTCAGTTTCAAGAATATCAAAAAAATATCTAATAATAACAATGCAATTCTGATGTTCTAGACCAGAGATGGCGAACATATGCCACATGTGCCACTAGATGGTATGTGACATGTCTTTTGTGGCATATAAGAAGTACTTATTAAATTGCCCCATAGATAAATTCAGAAGCAAATACGACTTCGAGTGCCATTGTGACTTTTTTCAAAATGTACGTAACAGGCTGTAAAAAACTTCCTGATTTCAGATTTAAATGAATCTTGGAGTGTTGTTACAAACAAAAAGCTATGATCCAAATATAAAGGACATTGCTAAAAAGGTTCTGCAACAAGTGTCACACTAAATGCAATTAATCTATGAAGTTTTTGAATATGATAGAGTTGTATACACATGATAGAGTAGTAATAATCAATAAATACATTTTGAATTTTAAAACAGAAAAATAAAGGTAATAAATAATATATTCTGTATTATATTGATTCGTCAAATTTTTCATGCCATAAGATATTTAAAATATCTGCAATTAAATACCTTTATTTCATTGCCACATATACCTTACCACAAAAACCTTACCTTAAGTACCTTGTGACAAAGAGTGCCCACTTTGGAATATTTTATACTAGCTTGGTATTAAACTGAAAATTTAAAAATAGTGTTTATTCAATTTCCATTTGAAACGAGTTAATAACTAAGCAGCAAATATAGTTTAAAATTAAAGTGCAACAATTTAAAGATTATTATTTATAAGAATGGAGTGACACACAGTGCACCTGAAAATAAAAAAATTGTATTTTAGCTGGTACACTAAACAAAAAGGTTTGCCATTTCTGTTCTAGATGAATGTTATTAAAATTTAATAAATCCTTAATAAAATTTATCAGTTTTTTTTTTGTAAATTTCATTTTATTTGTAAATTACATATTTAATTTAATTGCTACTTATTTTTATTAAATTTATAAATACAATTTGTGATTTGGTATATATATTTTAAACAGAAAGCCAATATAAAACATGTTTTAGAAAATTAGGGCATTTTTTATTTAAGATAATTTTTGATGTTTTTTAGGGGCATTTTTAAGAACTTTTACGTTAGCATCCTAATGATGAAACATCCTAATGTTTCTTTTTTTTTGTTGTTGAAATTACAACAGTTATAAAAGCCTTCAAAGGACAACCCTAATATAAAATCCTTATTTATAACCACTACCTAATATCCTAATCCTTAATATCCCAATCCTTATAAAAACCAATCTTAATTCCTTTTGAAATCCGCCTGAATCATGGTTCCTTGTAAAAATCCACTCAGTTTTATTGTGAATCCCAAAATATTTGTGTTATTGAAATGTATGTCACATTCTCTACCTTTGTTTTCATCCTTTATCTACAATTTATGTAATTAGGTCTGACCATTTGTGGCATAGAATGTTTAATGTATGCAGAATGGCATTCACCTAGCAAAATTGTTGCTCGGTGTGGAGCTGCTCGAGTTGCACAGTTTGGTGATGTTATAGTTACCACCAAATCTGGTGGTAAAGGAACCTGCACAGTTCAATTTAAAGTATTAGTCAGATGCATTGGTAAGTATATATTCCCTTTTGTTTCTTTTTATCTTTCTGAATCTTTTTGTTTTGTCCTTCTTCAGTAAAAATGTTTGATAACCTAATTACCATCCAACATTTTTTCCCCTTATCAGTGTTATTCCCTTCTGACTTGGCCCAACATCAACTTTAAAATTATCTAAGTTTGCTTTATAATCATCAAAGTAAAAAAATAATAATAATGGTTTTTATTATTGTCTTTTAAATTGTATTTTGTATTCTTTCATAAACAATTGCATTAGATTTTTTAGGTAAATTATTTTCATCATTGATTTTCATAATGACATCACATTTGTTTTTTAAATGTGATGCAATGAATTTCTGTTTGTTGCGTTTGTAAAGTAAAAGCTTCAATATTCAAAGATTAAAGTGGGCAGTACACCTCATCATAATGGAAGGAAATAGAAATGTTAAAAAAATTATTATGTCTAACCATATGATGTACAAGCTTGAGGAAGACCAAAACTATTATACAGTGAACTCTCGCTACTACGATATCCGATACAACAATAACTCCCTCTATTACGATAATGTTCCGTGGTCCCGCCAAACTTGCATATGGATTAATGTTATCTTCCTCTCAATATATCGATATTCTCTGAAGCAGTAAACCTCTGTAAAACGATTTTTTTCCAAATTTAACATTATTTTCTTTTTTTTTTATTGGTTTTCAAATAATGTAAAATGCCTTTTTGTCATCTTTTACCATTTTTTTCATCTTTTCTGATAAAAGAGTCACTGCTGGTTATGATCTTTCACCCCACTGTTATTTCTTTGCACATCAGAGAATGGCTTTTGTATTCAAATTTCATTCCCCCACTGTTGAGGTACTTAGACCACCCTAAGAGCTTCATGTTTTAGAATTGCCTCCCTCAGTTCTTAAGAAATCACCATTGTAACATCATGAGTCATAAATGACCACACACATCACAGTAACACCCGCGACCCTGAGAAGGTACTGTTTCTGTAGAAGGTGGGTGGAGCACGTTTATTGAAATTGAGGAGGAGAAAAAAATGTATACTGACCATTGGTCATCGTTCATCACTGTCACTTAATCCCTGATTTAAACTACACCTGGTGTTTTCATGAGCTAGCGCAAATTCTACGATCAGANAAATATATTTATAGTTAATGAATATATAACATTAAATTTCAAAAAATCTTATTGCGTCCCAGAATTATGTGGGCCCTCGATATAACAATATATCCCTCTACAACAATATTCTTATTTGGTCCGCAAAATATTGTTGTAGCGAGGTTTTACTGTATATTGATTGCCTTGAACAAGATTTTAAAATAGTACTTAAAATTAAGAACTGGAAAACAAGGGCATCAGATAGGTCAAAATGGAAATTTATTCTAGTGAAGACCATGATCCACACAAAATTGCTGTGCAATCGAGGAACAAGATGAAAATAAGCTTCAATATTTCGATCCTGCAAAGTCTCAAAATCCATCAATCCATTTACTCAAAATCTGTGTAGGGAAGTAATCCAAAAATGTGTAAAACTTTTTAGAGATTGAGTTATAAATAATGATGGAAAATACATAATTTAAGAATGTTTTTTTATAAAAATATTTTATAATTCATCTTGTTTCAAAAGGGGCATTATATAAGAGAATTAGCATAATTTCAAAAAAGCAGGGAAACCTCAAACAACCAATATTTGTATACTTTTTCTTGTTTGCATATTCACAAAATAGAAAACTAGAGTTTTTTAACGTATTTAATGCACGCTACAGGCTTTTTATTTTTTTCCTTTAGAAGAGACAAAATTTAAAAAAAAATTCATAATACTTCTCTAAATTTTAAGCAGAAAAAAATGAAATTTTTTTCTTCTAACTGCTAAAGATCTGAAAAAAGGCAGGCTAATTACTTTTATTTCTTTTCTTGTTTTAAATTTAGTTAAATTTAAATCAATAATGCTTCATTAAAGCTCTTTCGATATATTGAGGAGGTTACATATTGTGGAGGTTTCTGAAATATTGAGGAGGTTACATATTATGAGCAACCTATACCCTTCGTCCCTGTTGCCCTATTTGTAAGACATAATTTTCTTTTTGTTTTAAAAACTGATTATAGGTTTTAAGATGGTTTAAATTACTCTTTTTAATTCATTTTTTAGATTTATTTTGACCTTAACAACACATTTAATTTTATGGGAGAAATATTAATCTACGCATGGTATTTTTTATAATGATAAGTCTTGTGTTAAATAAATGCTTGAATATTATTGATCAATTTATACAGATGTCACTATGAAATCTGTATTGCTTTTATGTATAATTTTATGTTTGAAGTATAATTTTCATGTTTGATTAAATTTAACCAAATGCAAAATTTACTTTAATACTAAATTTACCATAATATTTAGTATTAAAGTATACTTTCATTATATTTTTTTACTGTACTTATTTAATGTTTTTCTGTAATTGAAAGCGTATGATATTTCCTCAAATTTAATATTAAGTAGCTGTATTAATGTTTGAATAGTACATTGGTTTATTGATTGGTGGTTGCTTCCTACAATGAAGGAATTTTTGCTTAATTTCAATAAAAAGTCTCCAAGTGATCCAATATTTTATTGTGTTTCTTACTGTTAAAACTATGATGCAATAAATTTGTCTGCATTAACAATATGAAAACTTCATCACTGTTTCTGTACTATGTCAAGTCTTTAATGTAGTTTCTTAAATGCTTTAGGTCTTACTGATGAATCAGCTGTTTGGGTTGATGAATCATGGTTTGGAAAGAACAGGCCAACTTCACCTTCTCAATTATACCCTGATGATCCTCTTCGTCTCTCAGATGAATCTAGCGTGTAAGAAAAATATACCCTATATGCCTGTAACTTTTAATCTATTAAAATATAAACAATTAAAAAAATTTAGTTTATTTGCATAACAAGCATTTCAATGAAATCATTTCTTAGATTTTATATTATTGGTTTAATAAGTCATATATTTACTGACTTAGCGCAAAGTCTATTTAAATTTAATTATCCAGTTCAAATTAAATTTTCCGATTTTAAAAAATGGATTTGATTTTTATTCTTCATTAGATTAACTTAGTTGTTATGTTGACTCTTAATTTTCTTAAAAATGACAATTTTTGTATAGGACAGTTTTTGTTTTGTATATATATCTTCAAATTTTTGGGTTGTAAGTGAAGCACTGCTTGTATTTTTGAAAGAGGTCCTTTTTTGGTAAATTTCCAGAACAATGAATTAAAAATTATTTAGTTTACTACATTTTTTGCTCTAAATAATCACTAGCTTTTTTGCATGTTTGACCTATTTATTTCTTTATGGAACTAATTGTGCTTATAATTAATTGTAATTTGAAATTCCGCTCAAATTAACTGTAATTTGAAACCGAGTTTCAATTAACTGTATTGTGCTTATAAAGTAAAAAAGTCTGTTGGCAATAACGTCTGAGGGTCATAAATAATTTATCTTGTTATGCTTAATCAGCCATTCTTAAACCAAAAAATCTAATTTTTTATGAAAAGATGTTTTTGATAAAGTTATAAAATTGTGATTAACAGTCTGTGACTTAGTGACTTAATATGGGTAATCTAATGATCAGTATACATGCCTACCTTGTGGCCACAGCTAATTGGAACAACCTACATATTATACATCTAATAAATTTCAAATAACTTTTACAAAATACTTAAATTGTAACATCAATACTCCAAAATGTGATGGTGCAGATTCAATGTTTCAAATGATTTTTATCTTCAAACATTCCCTTTCATTATTATTTTTTAAGAAATTTATGAATTATTTTTATTGTTATCATTTTATCTTTATTTAAACCAGAATATATTCATAACAAACACAGTTTCCAAAGATTTATTTTAAAGTTAAAGAGCTGTTATAAATTCATTACAAAAAATAAGTTTTTAAAAACTTTAAAATATTTTTTATTTCTAAAACAAATTTTATGCTTTGTGCATATTATGTATATAATTTGTAGAACTTGCCTTTCAATTTAAGTTTTTTATGAGNGCATAACAAGCATTTCAATGAAATCATTTCTTAGATTTTATATTATTGGTTTAATGAGTCATATATTTACTGACTTAGCACAAAGTCTATTTAAATTTAATTATCCGGTTCAAATTAAATTTTCCGATTTTAAAAAATGGATTTGATTTTTATTCTTCATTAGATTAACTTATTAGTTGTTATGTTGACTCTTAATTTTCTTAAAAATGAAAATTTTTGTATAGGACAGTTTTTGTTTTGTATATATATCTTCAAATTTTTGGGTTGTAAGTGAAGCACTGCTTGTATTTTTGAAAGAGGTCCTTTTTTGGTAAATTTCCAGAACAATGAATTAAAAATTATTTAGTTTATTAAATTTTTTGCTCTAAATAATCATTAGTTTTTTTGTATGTTTGACCTATTTATTTCTTAATGGAACTAATTGTGCTTATAATTAATTGTAATTTGAAATTGCGCTTAAATTGACTGTAATTTGAAATAATGCTTAGGGGCTGTTCAAAAAGTACGTACATCCCGAAGGGGGGGAGGGGATTTGCTATTTTGTACGGTTTTGTACGATGGGGAGGGGGAAGGTATTATACAAAGTTCGTACATTATAATCATACACCAAATTTAAATTTGACTTTTTCCTACACACTCCTTCAATAAATATTTAATTTTATTTAAAACATAATTGTTTTAATTTTTATGAAAAGGGGGGGGGGTAGACTAATAAGATGTACGTACTCTAAGGGGGGGTAGACTAATAAAATGTACGTACTCTAAAGGGGGGGGAGTAGACTAATAAAATGTACGTACTCTAAAGGAGGGGGGTAAGACCTTATGTACGGTAATGTACGAAGGGGGGGTTAAAATTTCTCCCTTTTTGTGTACGTACTTTTTGAACGGCCCTTTAAACTAACTGTATTATGCTTTTAAAGTAAAAAAGTCTGTTGGCAATAACGTCTGAGGGTCGTATGAATAAATTATCTTGTTATGCGTAATCAGCCATTCTTAAACCAAAATATCTAATTTTTTATGAAAAGATGTTTTTGATATTAAAGTTATAAAATCGTGATTAACAGTCTGTGGCTTGGAGACTTAATATGGGTAATCTAATGATCAGTATACATGCCTACCTTGTGGTCACAACTAATTGGAACAACTTACATATTATACATCTAATAAATTTCAAATAACTTTTACAAAATACTTAAATTGTAACATCAATACAACAAAATGTGATGGTGCTTATTTAATGTTTCAAATGATTTTTATCTTCAAACATTCCCTTTCATTATTATTTTTTAAGAAATTTATGAAATATTTTTATTAATAGTTATTTTTATTAATTGTTATTTTTATTGTTATCATTTTATCTTTATTTAAACCAGAATATATTCATAACAAACATAGTTTCCAAAGATTTATTTTAAAGTTAAAGAGCTGCTATAAATTCATTAAAAAAATAATTTTTTAAAAACTTTGAATTTTTTTTTATTTCTAAAACAAATATTATGCTTTGTGCATATTATGTATATAATTTGCAGAACTTGCCTCTCAATTTAAGTTTTTTATGAGACAAATTAATATTCATATTACGTTAGCAGGTCAGGAAATTATTATCATATAAAGTAAAGAAAGTTGTGTTTGTTTTACCTCTAAAAGGTTCTACAGCACATTTCCAGAAAAAATTGTGCTTCTCTTACTGTAAAATTGTGAATATCATTAATAACTATTTTAATTCTAAAACTAAAACACTAAAGTATGATAAAGCAGTTAATGTCTAAGATTAACATCAGTTTTGTGTTTTACATAAATCTATGTATATGTGAATGTTTTAAAACTATATGTAAATGTTTTTAAAACTATGTTAATATGTAAATTATTTTTTTATTCTGAAAACAGGGAGAGATTTCCTGTTGATGATTTGCAAGAAATATTTCCAGAAGGTTAGTTTTTTTCCATTTCTAATTAACTGAAATGATTTTTGCAAATGATCTACTAAATTAATTTTTCTATTTTAGGGTCTGGCAACATATTGTCTCATAACTTTGAACCAACTTGGTATCTTTTAGAGAATCATCATGGTGCTCGGTACAGATCTTTTTTTTTCTTCTGTACTTTTTTTCTATATTTAAGTTTTTTCTTTTTTTAAAATTTGAATTTTAAAAAAAATGCTAAAAATATTTTCAGTTATTACTTCTGGTTTAGGAGCTAGAAATGTGGAGGTATTTTTGATTACAGAATTTTCTATTGTGTGAGTTTCCTTTGGAGAGTAACAACGCAGTAACCTCTGTTAGTTAACACATAATTATTTAGCTCTAACAAAACAGAGCACATACTCTGGTGCTCTTTCTAGTGCACATGCTCTGGTATAAACATTTGGCAGCAAAACAGCCTTTTTTTCTAAAGTAGGGTATAACTAAGAACTGGTGGTTTCGAATTTAACAAATTTTTCAAAAGACTTGAAGGTTTTTTGACATTTATTCACCCTTGATGCCGAGTTTTTATTAAACATATTTTTCATGCTTTTTTCATTATTTTGTTTTAATTAAGGTCAAAATAGGTAAAAAATATTTTATTTCGCATTTTAATAATTTATGGTTATGAAATACAGCATGAAACAGTTGTGTTCTTTTTCTGCATTAGAGATAAAATCTTCTAAACAGTAATTTTTCAAATTTGCAGTTATTTACATCTAAGAGAAACAGTTATTTATCATATAAATTTTTTTAATTTACAAAATAAATTTGTGAATCTGTATGAAATTTTTATTCTTTATTTTTTTTATCATGCTACTTTTTTGGATTTTATATTTTAGTATGAATATAATTCTAACAGATTTTTTTAGTAACCATTAGACTGTTTTTTAATAATTTAAAGGAACCAAAAAATATTTTTGCTTCTAGGTAGAGCATCAGAAAACTATATAAGGGACACCAATGTCCCATTCGTGCCAAGGGTTAAATCCCTTTAGTTTAAATGTTTTTAAAAATTGTCATATACATATTTTTAAATAGCTTTAGAGATTTAAATATTAAACTTGCATTTTTATGAAAAAAAGAAGAAAAAAAAGTTGCAACTTATGATGAAGATTGTTCAGCATTCATGAAGCCCCCTTGATTATATTCAAAATGTTTTCATTACGTAATTTCCTTTTGTTATTTAAAGTTGTTTTTAAACACATTTTTCGAAAGTTTTGAATTCTAGAATTATATTTTTACAGACAAAAACTGAAACCCTTTGGGATCCTATTTAAAAATTATATCTTATTGCCTGTAATTTTTTATTTCAAGTTAGTTATATTTACATATTTTTGAATAGCTTTGACGATTTAAAAACCGGACTTGCATTCTTACGAAGAAAAGTTGAAACTCACGATGAAGGTCCTTTGGCATTTATGAAATCTAATGTTAGCTCTGTTATGTCCTGTTTAGATGCTCTTGATAGTGAGTTTATATATTATTAAAACATACTTCATATTATAAAGTTTCATCAAATATGTATATCTCTAACTCTTTATTTTCAGATTTAAAGTCTGGCTTAGAAAAAGATGTTCAAGCTTTGGGTAATAATCTTGCTGTACCCGCAGATCAGGCTATACAAAGTAATTCTTTTTTAATGCTGTTTATACTATAGAGTTTATTAAAGAGATAAACTGATTTCTCTCAAAAGTAAAGCATTAAAGTAATATTTTTTTCTTTGAAATCATTGAAGATCTAAATGGATGCATGTTTGAAAGTGACATTTTATTTAATTATTTGATTGTATACTTTAATAATAGGAAACATAAGTTATGCCATACCTTTATTTTTTATCCTCTGAATTATTTGAAAATTTATACTCTGATAAAAGGAAAAATTAATGCTTTAAGCTTATTTTTTATCCTCAGAATTGTTTCAAAGTGTCTAACTTTGATAACAGGAAACAAAATTTATGCCTTAGTATCTTTATTTTTTTATTCTCTGAATTATTTAAAGTGTATACTTTGATAACAGGATGCAAAAGTTATGCCTTACTTTTATTTTTTATTCACAACTTCCAATTGCCTAAATCTTACAATTCGTAACACGCATTTAAATTGCTTATGTTGCAGGGTTTACACACTTAAAATTTATTTTTATAACTAAATTGCTTGTTATTAGTTTGATTATATTGAACTATTGTATTAATAAACTTTAGTTATCATGAGAATATTGAAAAAAAAAAACAAAACATGATTGCTTTAAAGATTTATTAAAAGGGGTGTCAAAGAATATTCTGTATTTAGTTTAAATTAAGATATAATATATTTTTTCCCCCATAATATTATGCTTAGTAGAAAATTTTATTTTTGGGAGAAAAAAAAAAGAATTAACAATTCTCAAAATGTGATGTTTCAAAATGATATCCATTTAATTTTCGTATCTTTTACTTCAATTTATCAAAAATCATCAGTATATGTACATTCATAACAATTAATACATCTTAAATTGGTATGTTTACTTATGTGTCTACTTTTATTAAATATGTATGTGTTTATCTTTCTTTAAAAGGGTGGGTTTATATAAACCGTTAATAAAAAAGTTTTTATTAAGATTTTAAATTATATGATTTTAGAAGCAAAAGAGGAAGCTTTTGATCTTTTTGAAGAAATGTTATCTCGTAAAGAAAAGGCTGACTCTACAAGAAACGCTTTGAGTGTTTTACAGAGGTTCAGATTTCTATTTAACTTGCCTGCCAACATTGAGAAAAACATCAGGAAGGTAAATCCATACGTTTATATTGCTCTTCAAACTTTAATCTTTAAAAAATTTATTTTTTCATCAGTTATTTACTGCTTGTTAATTTGTAACTTTTTAATTTCAGTTATAGAATAAAAGGGCACCATTACTTTTTTTATTTTTAAAAAAATGGTTAAGAATTTAAATTTAACTTCACCATTAATAGCATCCCATTTTACAAATTTAATAAAATATAAAATGTATTGTCAAACAGTTTACTGTTACAGAATTATTATTTTCATTTGAACTTATAATGCCTATGGATTTTGAGAAACTATGTTTCCTTTAAAGCTTATACATAAATTGGTTGATATTATAAAAAAAATTGGAGTAGATAAAAAGAGTATTGCTTTTTTTCTCAAAATAAGCTAAATACAAACAAGTTCTTGTATTTCTTTCTCCATCTTTTCTTTCACTCTTATTTTTCTAGAAAATTTAATCCAAAGTTTTTGTTTAAAAAAAAAAAAATGTTTTTTTTTTTAAAGGAAGAATTAAAAGTTAAAAAAACTAAATGTATAAACTCATATTTTTTTTTTGAAGAAGAAAAGAAGGCTTTTAAAATAAACTGAAATTTCTATAGTAATTTAACTTTTTACTTTACCAAAAATAAAATTTACTTAAATTTTTTAATAATTTGTTTCTTTGTTTTGTTTTTTATTAATGATTATTTTCAATTTAAAATTTAAATTGTATAAGAATTAAATTGTACAAAAATTAAATAAAATTTTTATTATTATAATGTTTTATTTCAAAAAATGATATTCGTATATTGTTTCTTTATTTCTTTTTTCTTCCTACCTTGGAAGTTTATAATTCTGCCTTCAATCTAGTATTTTACTTGAAATTTTGTTCATTCTTTTGTTATCTTATTTTTGTATCAAAATGTTTTGTTTAAATTCAGATTTTTTGTTAAATTTACCAAATACTCTTGGGAAATTTAAATTAGTACTGCTTAAGTCCTTATCTTCTTCAAATAAAAAAAATATTGAAATTAAATTTCAAATTGGTTTTTGAACTTTTTTGTTAATATCCTTGAAAATCTAGAACTTAAATCAAGTTCTTGTTTCATCTTTTCATTATCATGTCTTCAGATGGAATATTAGTTTTTAAAAAGTTTCTATTTCTGAAATAATATTAGTGTTGTAATGAAAAAGTTAATAACATTCTTTCTTCATAATTCTTTTTCTTTTATATAACAGAGTACTGTAGTTTTTAGAATTAATTATTTTAAAAGAGATTTTTTATGGTTAATTAGCATATAATTTAATGAAAAAAATTAAGGCCAAATATTCTGTTATTTTTAGGGAGATTATGAGATGGTAATTAATGACTATGCTAGAGCTAAATCCTTGTTTCATGATACAGAAGTTGCAGTGTTTAAAAAAGGTATTATTCTGATAATTTGAGTATTTTCAAATTGATGACATGTTTGTTTATGTCTAATCTATTTTTCTAATGCATTATTTTATTATATTTTGTTTAAATGATATTTTTTTGGATAATTAAAAAGTTTGTTTCATTTTTAATGTCAATAATCATTACACTCTTTATGAATTCTTTCTTTATCTTTATAACCACATTACCTTGATACTGCCAGTACATCTCAGTTTTGTGCAAATTTGTATACTTTATACTTGTTTTATTAATTTTAATCTTATTAATTTCAAATAATAATCTAATTATTCTTATAAATCATATTGTTTGTATTTTAGTTTATTCAGAGGTGGAACAGAGAATTGAACATTTTCGAGCAATGTTGCTAGAAAAATTAAAGGACCAGCCTTCAACTGTTGAAGAGCAAAAGCGATTAGTAAAGTAAGAATGACTTGACTATAGCTATAGTTTTATATATTTTGGTAAAATAAACACAATTGCTGTATTTTTGTATCTACATTGCTTAAAAAGTGCAAAAGTACTGCCAAAAATATTCTATTAAAACTAAGTTGTATAAAATATTATTACCGCAAAAAATATCTTTATTCTATTTTATTGAAGAAAAAATATTCTGTAGTGAGAAAAATATTATTTCAAAATATTTGTTAAAAATGAAATATTGCATTTTTGAAAACTTTTTCTACTTTTCAATTTTAAACTTTTGCAAAAAGACATCAAAATTATGTTGGATGCAAAAAAAATAAATTAAAGCTATTTTATCTATATAGTGATTTTTAGGGCAAGGGAGGAAAAAGACAATAATTAGCAATTAAACTTAACAAATTAGCAATTAAACTTAACAAATTAAACTTTTAAAATTAAATTTAATAAAAAAAAAAGTATACCAGCGACATTAGTAGCAGAAAGCTGTCTACACACAACGTTGCAAGACAAAGACTGAATACAATTTCTTAAAAAAACATTATAAGTCAAGGAAAATAGAACTCTGGAGTTCCCCTTCACGACTCTCAAGCACCATTGAATCAGGAAGTTGATGGTTTCAAGATGAGCAATGATGGAACGAATTATATATATAATATCAGGGCTACATCCCTGTTATCTTGGGTTGTTTTTTGCTCAAATAATTACGTCATGAACCAAATAATTCTTCACAAGTTTTATTTAAAGGTAGGCTGGTGACTGTAGCAGTTCACACCTACTCTCCACTCTGGAGGGGGGTGGACAACACTCTGGATAATTCTGGTACAGCTTACATGGAAAACATCATACAGCAAAAGTCATGCAAAAACTGTTGTTCTTGCATTAAATACTGCAACCAAAAGGGGTAAAAAGGCCAGTCGTGTGCATTCCTTGTATCCCTACATATCATCCAAAATCACTTAATACTTCCTTATATGGAAGTGAAAGAAGGAAAGATTTTAAAATAACTCCTCCTTTGAAATATAAATCTAATTTGTAATTCATTGGTATGTTTTCAGCCTTGAAGTCCCAAAATAGAATAACTCTACACCTATTCTTTAACCAAGACATTTTATGAAAACGAAAGAGTTTCAATGCTATTATTAATACAAAAATATTTTTTATAATTTTTGTATTATATATGTATATATATATCAAAATTTTATTATCTACACACATTATTAAGCATATATGAAACAAAGGCAGTGACTATAACACTGATCTTTGGTAAAATATCCTTGTTGCAATTCTGCCGACTTTTGACAACAGCGCCACTTTGCAGAAACTAATATGGGCAAAGAGTTTTGTTCAGTAGCGGTAATGTTATTGAAGCAATTTCTGGCATTGGTACGATATCTCCGAACTATCAGATCGAGCGTAAAAACTTAACATTAAGAAATCAGTGTATTGTAGGTCAGGCAATGGCACTTAAGTAGAAAAGAAAAACATCAATGTAAGGCATACCGGGCAAACCTACAAAAACATCAGTGTAAGATATACCAGGTAATAGCACTAATTCTTACAGGGAAAAAAACTGTAGGGTGTTTTAATTGAGTGATAGCTCTTTCAATTTTCTCTTAAGAACTTCATCGGTTTTATGACAACATACGTCATAGTCTTACAAAATAGAGATACATTATGCTGATTCTGGATGAAAAACATTATCATTTCGATATTTCCACGTATAAAAAATAATAATGTTGATAAATTGTCACAAATCAAAAGGAATAGAACAAAGATTTAAAGGGAAATAAAATGTGAAACGTGATATAACTTTTTTTGCAGGTTTTTTTCATCTTCATTCATTTTTCGAGTTCATGTTATATTCATTTTTTTTTAAAAAATACACTCTTATTTTACGAAATTTTTTTTTTCAGGTATAAAAAGAAAAAATTAATGTATAGTGAATAATAGCAAGCATTCAAATTTACTATGCATTTTTCATTTATATTGCAACTCACACACCGTTNAAGGGGACTCTAGCCCATGATCCGTCTACCACCGAGGATATTTCACGTCAGCACAGTGGTCAGTGCTAGCCCGATATCGACCAGCCGTCGCCGGGTATATATATATATTAATTATTTAAGGCATGGTTATACTTTATTAACATTTTCAGTTTTAAAGTGATAAGTAAAAGTACAAAAACTCAATGTTCGGATTTATAATTTGCATATTACTATTTTTTACAAATTATCAGAAATTAATATGTTTATAATGCATCTGTAAAGCAAAACATTATCACCAATTATTTCCAGATTTTTAGTGAATTTAGAGACGCCCAACGATCCTGCTTGGCAGTGTGTCATTCACACTAAGATGTGGCTCCTGAATGTTCTGAATGAGTTGAAAGATACTCACATTACATTAGGTACAGTGATTTCTTAGATTTCCCTTTTCATACTTAATATTCATGTGTTAAAATTTAATAGTTCTGAAAATATTTAATACAATGTTTTTTCTTTTCAATATTGTATCATTGAACAAGATTTAGTATTTTCAAGTTATGAGATTGATGCAGAAGTAAATTTTGATTTTTCCTGTATCTCACAAACTGATTTAAAGATTACTTTTGTTTTAACTAAACAGACCTAAATATACAGATAAATAGACATACAGACCTAAATATACGAAGCATGTTTTGACTAGTATAAATAATATGTCCAATTTTAAAAATGTTCCAATTTTCTTTTAATATTCACAGTCAATTAGATTGAGATACTATTTAATTGAAGGGATAAAAAAACCTTCTTTATTTATTTCTAATTCATTTTTTTTCATTAATCTAATGTTATTGAAGGAATGATTCTCTTAATATTTTTTTAATTGCTTAAATTCCAGTATAATTTGTACATCTCATTATTGTTTTCTTTGATTACTAATTTTTAATATGCAAAAACTCAAAATATTTTTCAGCTTCCTCTCATGAAAAGCGGGAAGCAGGAAATAGTCTGTCTCAGCTGGATATGCCACAGTTAGTCAAATTCATAGTTGAAATTACAGAAAGATTTAGTGAGCACTTCCCAAATTTGTGGAAACTTGGACAAGCATATCTTGGAGGGCAACTGCATATTAGAGAGGTTATATGTTTAAATTTTATTCGTGAAAATTATTCTTTTGTTTTTATAAACTTATACTTTTTTGTTTTTATGAACTTATACTCTTTTGTTTTTATAAACTTATACTCTTTTGTTTTTATAAACTTATACAATATAAGTATTGTTATTGATCTGAGAGGACACGTACTTGTTGTGCCTATTGGAACCCAAGCTTTATTATTTAAATTCTTCAAAATACTGTTTAATTCATCAAAATTAACTGTCAACTTTTCTTTTGAAGCAGAGGAATCAGTTTGGTATAAAATCATCTTTTAATTTATGGCTGAAATTGTATTAAATGTCACAATTGATCATCTGCACATATCATTCAAACAGAATCCATTTTGTCTGTTTTTCTGGGCTGTATCATTTGACAGACAGCTACTCACAGTTTTTTAAGAGTGGCAGCCCTTAACCGGCCACACTACTGGTACCTTTTTTCACCTGTACCTAACTCACGTGGTGGAATTGTTATGAGTTCTTTTAGAATATTTTGATCTCTGGTTTCCTCTTATCCCCGTTGATTTGTCACTCTGGCTGCCATTGTGTTTCAAAGAAAGCAAACTTATACATTTTCCTATCTTTGGTTCGAAGATAACTGCAACTGTATAAATAATGCCTGAGATCTAGATATACACCCAAACATTACAACTCTTTTGTTACAAAATAAACAGTGACCTTTGAGAGTTTCTGGCAAATTGGTAATATATATAAAGTTTTATATCTTAATTGCGGAAAAGAAAGGCATTTTAAGCTCATTTATATGAAGAAAACATGGTGCATAGCGTTTTTTGAAAAGTGCTTAAAGGTACTTATTTTCGAATCTCGTATTTTGAAAGCCCTTAAAGATGCTTTTTTTATTGGATGTTTTTAAATAGTGCTTAATTTTCCCTTTTCGAAATTGAGATTATTTTCTTTACCATGTCGATTTTCGTCACGCATTATACAAAAGTGTGGTTTTCACATTGTTTTATTCAACGCTTTCACAATTCATTCAAGCACAATGCATTTCGGCGTACAGTCGGTCTGTAGCGTATGGAAGCGCCAATCATTTTACATGTTTAACTAAATACTTGCGTATCCGCATGTGGGTCTAATGAGCTCGGTTCGGTGACAGTATTGCTCTTACCGTCTCTTGTACACCTCTGCAGAATTTTGCAAGATATTCTCAATTTCAGGTTTCATTCCCCCCTCTGAAATCGACCCGAAAAATCTCGATCTTTTTATGGTGAATAATATAATCAAAAAAAGATTTCTTTGTCGGAAACTAGTTATTTTATCATGATCATGCAAATTCTTTGAGAATTATTTCGCATTTTGTTATTGTATATAGTGCTTTGAAAAGTGCTTATTTTTTGTTGTAAAATTTGACTATGTACCTTGATTATGTATTCATATAAATATCCAGCAATATTATCTCACCTAGACTTTAATGTTTTAGAATTCTGATGCTTCTGATAAAGTGGGTCTTCCAAAGAATATTCAATTCAAAGTATGTAAAATTAAACATTAAAATTTTTAATATTTGCTTTCATGAAATTGATATTTACTATATTTTTATGGTGTAACTATTTGCTTAGAATATGGTTCTGGAGGTATCTCAGAAAGTGTGTTGCCTTATCCGTATGGGGATTCTTCCTGATAGCCTCCATGCCCTCTCAGTGCAACAACTTCAAGCTTTGGGATCTTGGCCTAAAACTGAAAATCTCACTCCCTGGCTACCACATTGCTTACGTTGCATCAGGTACTGTAATAGTCAATGATGGTTTATGTAGTCTTTAAAAGTTTTAAACTCATAGTTTTATACATAAGTGCCTGTGTAGTTGGATTTTTTTTACATTTGCTCAACAATTTGAGCATTGTTACCAGGGCCAGATGTAGAAATGCGGAGGATCTAGGCACAGAATTGTCACTCCCNTTGTCAGCCCCCCCCAGGTTGTTACTTTAAAAAAAAATTATCTGTTGTTTAATAATGAAGTGCTTCTAAATTATTTATAATATAAATAAATTATGTTATATTAGTAAATTCAAGCTTATATATCGATTTCAATCTTTGTTAACTCTTAATTCTAATACACAATTTTTAAGGAAAAATAGAAGAAAAAAATTATTTGTGACATTTAGGAGCCCTAGGCCTGGGCCTCACAGGCCTTATGATAAATTAGGCACTTAGTGCTACATTCATTAATTAGATTTTTTGGAAATTAATTATTTAAATTATAGAAATGCCTATCTCTCATTGAATTTATAAAATCAGATCATTACATTTGACTAAGCAAATTCTGCAGATAATCCCCAAAGGGAAAAAAGATCAATCATATATGTTTTTTCATGTTAAAATACATCTTATTTATCACTCGTTTTCATTCATTATTATATATAAATTATACATATAGACTCACTCTTATGGAAACAATATGCAGCATCCCATGCAGATTAAATATTGTATAGAATTTTCAATAGACATTCTACGTTCAAAATTTAGTGTCATAAAAAAAATTTATTTTTTTCTAAAAAAAAAAAAAAAAAATACTGCTGAAATTTCTAGAGAGATGATGTGGTGTTCCATATTCATAATTCTTAATATATATTTCAGGAAGCTTTGCCAAAAATTTAAATAAACAAAATTGCATAGCTCTCAAGTTAATATTTAGAAGAGAAAAACTAAAAGTTTTAAAAAAAAGTTTGACAAATTATTAAGGAGAGAGGAAATTAAAAATATCAAAAACAATTTTGTTGCTCAAAACTGAGAGGAGATGATAGGTGACTAATCAAACTTCCTTTAATATTTTTTTGCTTTCTGCTTCCATTGTGATTCATTAATGTCTTCGGTTTTCTTCTCATTCAAATTTTAATTAATGATCCCAAATGTATATACAATTTTGACTTCATTTTTGACAAAAAGTGTAAAATATGAAACAAGAGTTGTGATTATGATACACCCTGTATATATATTTTACCATTTTTAATTCAATGTCTTTAACATGTTCTGCAGCATTTTTAGCATATTCTTAAAATAGATGTAACCTAACCCTAATATTTGTTCATATATGCATTTATGGAAAGTTTAGCTTTTACATTTCTGCTAAATACTTCTGTCAATTTGGCAACTAAAAAATTAGAAAATGTCTATCTTTCTCTCATTGTCTTTTTCTTTAATTAAATTTGTTACAAAATCTGTAGGTTGGAAAGAGTTAATAAGGGTCTTTCGTTGATTAGTCTGAAAAATAAAATGTACATGAAAGCTGTTATCTCTTGTGATGTGTATTGTCTTTATTGTATTATGCCTATCATCACTGTTCTTCGAAACTATAAACTACCAACTAGAAATAAACTGTTTGGTCATTTTCTTAAATCTCTGCTAGACTAAATGCCTGTTACAGGGTGCATCGCCAAATCTTTCAACAGAAAATAAGCACATTTTAAGTACTTTTTAAGCACTCCAAAAATATTTTTAAGCACTATATCCATTAACAAAATGCAAAATAATTTTCAAAGACCATGGTTATGATAAAACAACTGATTTTGGACAAAAAAACCTCTTTTCTTGATTATATTAGCCATTGTAAAATAACGAAATAAATAACAAAAATCGAAAATAAGCACCTTTAAGCACTTTTTAAAAATACTACGCACCATGTGTTATATAAATGTCTAATATCTGTTAGACTGGCAAAATTTAATTGTTTGCCTTTTATTGAAATAAATGCATATAAATCTATTATGCATGAAATAAAGATAAATTAAACTGTTGAATAAAACAAAACAGGATGAATATGAGCTTTATTCATATTTTGCTTTCATAGATAGCGTAAAAAATTATGCTCTCTTCTTTTTGACATAATGCTCTATTACTAGTAGTTACAAAATTCTATTTATGTTTACAATATTTTTAAACAAAATGTTTGAAAGTCTAATTAAAATTATTGTTTACCCAGTTTAACTGAAATTCTCTTATCTAATTATGTAATAATATATTCTAGAGACACTTTTTCTCTGATTTAGGAATTGCTACTCTGCTCTGTTAAAACTGGAAATGCCAGATGATATGCTCAACTCGATTCAGATGTTAATATTTGACTTGAAAGTGCATGCAATGAAAACTCTATTCCAACAAGCTTCCCATGGTTGGCTTAATTTTATTCTTATGGAGAAATATGTATTAAAATTTTTTATTACTGAAATTTTAGCAACAATACAATGATTATTTTTTGAGTTTGAAATTTTAATACATATTGTAATAGAAATTTTTTGTTCATTCCATATAAAATACTAAAAACTTAAAGTTCTTCTTAAGCACAGCATAGTAATTTGAACAAAGATGACAGATTTAGTGGAAGAAATGTATCATTTAATTTTCATTAAATGTATCATTTATTGTTAAGCATAAAATTAATTAAACGCAAAATATAAGCTAATTTCAGTGTTAAATCCCCTTAAAAAAATTTACTTACAATACCTTCACTGTACGCTTTTCTAAATGTTTAATTACGTTTTTTTATGAAGTTTCTTTTTTAAAAAAAAGTTCTAATCATTTTCTTAAACTCAAATTGGGTAGTGTGATCTATCTTGTATTATCGATTTTGAAAGTGGAAAACATTCTCAATAAGCACATTAAACTTCATAGGATCATGACTCCATGAGGTCATAGATACACCTACACATTTTTGTGATGAGCAGTCTTCACAAAAGTGTGTAAGTGTATATATACAGTTAACTATCTCTTTACGACTGCTCGACTTGTTAAGTGAGCATTACGGACAGATCCCATTTATGAATTAACTATTACATACTCCTTTCATAATCCTGATACTCTACTAACCAGTGAGGACAGTGATTTTCATCCAAAAAAGATCTTTTTATTCCCTCAACATTTTTATCAGAAATTTTTTGTTTATAAGTTTTTTAAATACTAATTTTAAGTGGGGAAAATTAATTTTTATAGCAATACACTGGAGTAAAGAGTGTGATGCATTTTTGTTTAGGGTTTGATAAGAAGAAATTTGTGAAACTAGCATTTTTTTACGACCAAGGATTGATCGAGTTATTGTAAGCTTGTTTCTGTATGATTATAGTGTACATAGCAACTTTTTTCAAGAGCTTATTGAAGCCATGTGCCTTATTGCTTTGCCCCAGTCTTTATGATACATATTATGTTTTGGGAGTTATTTCAGATTATGAATGGAAGCCCTAATCATTCATTTGTAACTAATACATAAAATTTTTAACAATAATTCGAGTATGATTATTTGATGGACAAAACATAATTTAAGGAATCATGTTACTAATATTAAATTCTGATTAAATGGGATAAACATTTTCGTTTTGCTTTTACTACTTATAGATATATGTAAGAAAATAGTGCAAAAAGAGAGTTTTCTTGTTTGGGAATAATTGCATTACCTAAAATTTTGTTTGCTACTTATTTTATATAGCTGTAGATAAAAGTTGTTTTTTATCGTTGGAATTTTGAATCTGAAACTATTTTGAAAGGATTGTAAGAAATAGTTAAAAATTTCAATTTAATTGTTTAGCTTGTTCTAACTGTACTCATATTTATGTTTTAAGTTCACTTAAAATTAAAGCTCTCTTAGATCGCATTAAATGACTTTAAATATGCAATGAATTAATGGAATTAAATGTTAGAAATACAATTTTTTTTGCATAGATTTCAACTCTTTATCATCGGTCTGGAAATAAAATTATTTATAAAGAAAATTTTTTAATCCAAAAATACTAATAAAATTCTCACCTTTATCTCTTATTTATTTTCTGCAAGAATTAAAATCTAATTATATAAACCAAACAGACAATAATTTTGCTTCATGTAATTTTTATATGAATTACTTTACAGATATTCAACATTTGAATGAACGTGAAACTTGGATTGTTGAAATTGATGATACAAATGGAGGGACAACACAATTGGTGAGCCTCAAATGTATAAATCAATTTTAAAACATGAACGAGTAGTGATTATCTTAATATTGAGAAATTAGTGTGACTTGTTAAAATCTTATTAAGTATAATGTTTTTATTTTATTTATGAAAGTTTTAAAATATTTTTGGTGATTTCTTGTAAAAATATGAAAAATATTAACTGTAAAATTTTTGCAGTTGTGTATAACACCTATGCTGTTATGTATATAAAGTTATTGTAATTTTGAGTGGTTGTTAACGTTAGTAAATTAAATTTAACAATTTTATTATTTATATTGTAAGATTCACTATATTACATCATCGTGCTTGAAAAGCTAAATGCTGTTGAAATGAGTTATAGTAATGTTTCTTTTCTCTTAGCCTTTGCTCTTTGAGAATAGGGTTGTAGAAACACTGCAACTGGTGCGTGAAAATGTACTACAACATGGACCAAAAGAAAATGATGTAAGTGTGTCTTGCTGTATTTCTCTGTATGTGGCTTATTACAAAGAAATATTTTTTTAAGGAGACTCTCTTAGTTAATTTAACATGAAAAAAAGTTTTTTTTTTTAAATAAAATTTTTATGATTTTAAACTTTTTAAATAACCATAGATTACTCAAATGAGCATATTTTAAAGTTTATTTCTCACAAATGCAACTTTTACTTATTTATTAAACTTATGAGCAATGGTTACATTGTCTATTGAAGTTAAAGCTGGTGCAGACCTGCCAAATCTCAGGCTTTAGGCCTGGGTCTCAGGCTTTTGCATCCAATCTCAGTACCTCAGGCCACCAAAGTATTTTCTCAGACTTTTTACTTAAGAAGTACTATATTAATCTGAGAACCTGTGTACAGTTTGCATACAGCTCTCAAAACTTTCCTCTTGTCAAAGATTTTCTAGTTTAAGCATATTTAATTTATCTTTTTAATTCCTTTTTAGATTTTTTTTAATGTTTTGAAGCTTAACTAAAAAAAGAGGTTTAACAATATTTTAATGAAACATGTACAAAGCACTGCCTTAATAAAACCCATGATATCTTAAATTCATGATAAATTAGTAAACTTTCCAGTAATGTTTCAATTCAAAACAGAAGTTTTTCATTCCTTTGATAGGATCAATACAAAAAAGTCAGTTGCTAGAAAACTAATACCTTCTGTATGTTGCCCAGGTTAAAGCTGGCAATATGACGCATCCCTCACAGAGATGCGATCTCGAGAGAATCGTTATCCGCATAAAAATCCAGACTTAGTTTTGTTCTTGTTAAAATAAACTATCAAGAATTTACTGGGAAGGCAAATCAGAAAGTGTTTTAAATTTTTTTTATTTAACGTTTTTAAAAATTGTCAAATCAAGCTTTCAATCTGTTTTTTTTTTCCTTAAAAAGTAGATTAATTTATTTTTATCTTTTTAAGGTAGGAAGTTATTTACATAAATTTAAAAATTTTTTAAATTTTTTTATTACTTTTTGTTATTTTTATTTTTTGCTTATTATAAAAAATCTCAGACATTTTGCTTTTCTACGGTTATGGCGGCTACAGTTATGGGATGGCTTTTTTGTGTATTCAATGAGAAAAAGAGTGTATAACAAAGAAAATTCTGTTTCTTTTTTTTCCTGGGGGATAATGGTTGGAGGGTTATATGGGATTAGTTGATTTTCCTTTTAAGAAAAATTGAAACTCCAAATTCAAATTTTTTACATGCAACTGCTAAAGAGTTTAATATGTTAAATTTTCTTCATTTAATGTGCCTTCTCCGAAAATGGACTATTCTTAAATTACCAAAGTTTACACTGTGCCACTTGAAATGGTAATGGAAGCTTCTAATTATTGCATTTTAAAGTGGATTAAACACTAGAAAAACTCCCCCCCCCCATTTTTTACCTATATGTCTCATTTTATTTTTAATCTCAATTCTGTATTGTTAGCAAGGCTGAAATAATTTTTTATTTATTTTTTTGTAGATTCAAAACTACTGAATTAAATTTTTATTTATTATAAATTTTTTTAATAAAAGACTATTTTTGTAATACACTAATTTTGTCTGAATAAATTATACCATGTTTATTTTTGACAGATATTTCTTCAGTTAAATGTTCAAGGAGCTGTGAAACAATCTTCTCAAAGTATGCTTCAAGCATTTGCTATTTCTTTGGAAAAAATGGTGCAGGAAATCAAGAGTAAAGATGATCGGTAAGCTCTTGCTATTGCTACTCATTACTTAGCATCAGAGACTGCTGGGTCTAAAAACATATGCAGGTCTGACTTGCCATCAGCCAAGCTGGCAATCACTGTTTAAATTAATTAACGATCTATTGTTTCATAAATTGTAACAAGTATTCACATATCTGTTACTAATGAATGTTTTTTACATGTTCTTAATTTACTTATAATTTACTCACCAAATTTTGTCTGTAAACTTTCTGTTATTTTTCAGATTATTTTATTGATGATGGTAAAATAAAATAAAGTCAAAGTAAACTTCATTCTGTAATTTTAACTCTTTTAATTTTAATCACAAATTCATATAAAGTTTTTGGTAGATTTTAAAGCAAAATTTTGTGAACATAAATTTTTTCAACTTAACTGCTCAAACTGTGTAATGTTTTACAGATTTCGTTTTGAAATACTAAAATCTTCAATGAAAAAAAAATTTTAAACATTGGATTTTTTTTTGAAATTAGGGATGTAATGAATAGTGATTTGACTGAATATTCGGTACTCGGCCAATAAAATGGGCTGAATAGCAACATTTTTTCAGAAGAATCATTAATAAATATAATTTTTTTACATGGAAAAAAATTTTATCATTATTAAAAAACAGTAAAAATATCATTAATCCAAATGTTAGGATAATAAAGATAATTAGATATTATGATGCTTAAAAACATTTAAGATAAAAAAAACTGTCAAATAGCTATTAAAAAAAACTTAAGTTGAATATAGAAAGAAATAAAAGAAAAAAATATCCTCTTAATTCTTGGAAAAAAAACTTCAATGCTAAAACAATATTTTCTCGAAAAAAATTATCCATAAAACTTTAAAATATAATGTCTATGAGAAACAATTTTAAAAATGCTGTGCTATTATAAAAACGCCTATAAAAAACTAAGATTATATACAAAAGCTAAACACAAAAAAAAATTATCTTAAGTTTTGAGTCAAAATTTTAAAGCTAAACATTTCAGTTTTCAAATTGGAGTAAGAAAAAATTGAAGATTAAAATCTAATGGGGACCCTTTTAATTGCAGCTTCATAATAAAAAATAAAGTTTTTTGAAAAAGAAAAAGTTGGATAGAAACTAAAGAAAGAAAAATTGTTCTTAATTTTTAAACGATAGATTTAACGTTGAAAATCTTAATTTAACTTTTTCATCCTGCTGTATTATAGTATATTATATTAGTACAGAAAAAAGTGACCTTAAAAGAATAACGTTCATTAGAAACGTTATTTAAAAAATGCTGTCATAATAAAAATGTTGATAAAATGATAAAAAAATCAAAAGATAGATAGAAAAAAAATGTTCTTAGTTCTGAAATATAACTTTAGCATTGAGAATGACAGTATTCTATGTTACTAGTTATCTGTTTTACCCTTCAAGAAAAAAGTGACAATTAAAGAATAAAGTCTATGAGACTGCTCCGTTAACATGTTTCGCTTTAGTTAAAACAGACCAACTAGCAAAAATGAAACAAAATAAATTTTTTTCCATTTTTAGAATATAATATTTTGAAAGAGCGATGAAATTGACTTGCCTGAATATAGTTAAAGAAGGAAAAAAACGCCTGTAAAAATTCATGTTTCAGTATAAAGTAATCTAGTTCTAATTCTTTAAATTTCACTTTTCCATGTGTCTTCGAGAACATAAATTAACAAGTTTTAGTACTTAACAAATATGTGTAAAAACTATTTCTAATAACGGGTAGTAAGGAATAGGATTTTAGATTTTTCTTTATTCAATCTCTGAAAGTTTTCCTCAAAAATACTTTATCTAAAAATAATTTTCCAAATATTACTTTGCTGAATATTCGGCAGAAGGGCCGAATACCAAATAGTGACTGAATATTCAATGCATCTTTAGTTGAAGTTAAAGGAAAAATCGATAACTGAGCTGTAAGTGGGACCATCTGTTTTATTGCCAATTTATTTTTTACATTGCAAAGAATTGATTATGATGCTTTGCTCGATGTTAAATAGCCTATCATTGTTTTAGGCTATTTTATTCAGCTTGAAAACTATCCATGCAAAATTTATCAACATTTTATTCTATTGTTTAACAATTTAGGTAGCAAGTAGAATCTGGGTAGCAAATGATTTCGCATAAAATTTCTTTCTTTTTTTATTTAAAAAGTGATTTAAGTTGTTAATCAGTATAATTAACACTTTTTGTTTTACCCAGATCTAGGTTACTTTTGCAGAGGTCATTCAATCAAAATATGTTTATGGATGAGGACAATGAAGTTCCTTCTGATGTAAGTGTTTCTGCTATTTAAAAATCGGAGTGGTTTTTAAACAAATAAATCATACAAGGGTTGGCACTATCTATTTTTCTAAGTGTTAAGCTATGTGTCAGAAAAGACGTAACATAATCACCAAATGATTTTGAAGTAATCATTTAAAAAACACCTCTTTTTTTAAAAATTAGGATAAATAATAGTAAATAAAATAATTTAAATAATAAATAATTTAAATAGTAAATAATTTAAAAATAGGGGTATTTGTATTAACAGGGTAGATACCCTGTTAATACAAATACCCCTGCTCAACTTGATAGTCATGAAAAATCATGGAAAGTCATGGATTTCGGTATTGAACAAAATTTGTCAAAAAATGTCATGATTTTAACTATATTTTTTAAAAAAAATCATGGAAAGTTATGGATTTAGGTTGCCAAAAAATCTAATTTTTAAAATGGAATTTACCCCCCTTCTAATATCAGTGTTATGAATTTCTGAATTTGTAACAGAATCCCCACTCATAGTCATATTTTATTAAAATATAAAATGTTTTTATCCTGTTCTTTAAAAATTATGGTGTTCAAAAAATGAAAGAAAGAACATCAGTTCTAGAGCGAATTATCTTTTGAACTTCCCTGATTTCAGAATTTTTTCTATATATTATTTATTATTTTTATTCTATCAATTTAAAATTCTAGTTTAGACTTTTTATATTACACTTTTAAGAAGAAATAAGGTTCAAATAACTACATATATTTTCTTTTAGCTATTTTATTGCTTCAACTCTTTCTTTACTCTGTTTTTTTTTTATTTATTTTTTTTAATTTTTTTTTTTTTTTTTTATTTTTTTTTTTTTTTTNATATTTTTATTTTTTTTTTTTTTTTTTAAAGTTTGAAATCAATAAATATGAAGATGCACAGTATAACAGTTTTGGTTATACCTATCATTTCAATTAGTGTAATTATAATGCTTTTTTTAATTTATTGTTTTGTTTTTGTTAGAGAAAATAGTAACCTTTAAAGGAGTGATTTTTATTGTAAAGTTATAGGGTAAAAGTATTTTTAATATTCTAATATATTTTAAATTAGATCAAAAATTTTAAAAAAGCACAATTTTAAAAAGCACACCCCCATGTTTGACTCACCATTTTTTAATACCAAAATTCCTAATACATTAATATATGTTTATGCATTTCAACACTTTTTATAATTAGTTCTTAGAGTTATTTCAGATATAATTTGTTCCCTTACATTTTTGTGTTTCTTTCAAACAAAAAAGTGTGTGTGTATAAAGTTATAAAACCATAGAGAAAGCATGAAAAAAATCAATGAAAAGAGAAGAAGGAACAAAAATGATCAAAATAAAATATTTAAAAAATATATGTATATTAAAAAAAATAGTATTAAAAACCCGGCAACCCTGAGTACTGACTTTGTAATTTGAGTAGCAACCCTGGGTAACTTCAGCAGTAGAAAAGAGCTTATAACATTTTGTATCGAAAACAATTATGATATAAATTTTTTTGACTTATGGCAGCTTTGATGACAAATAATTAGGAAGATAAAATCTTTCTTAATTTGTGAATTTTGATTTTTGATTGACTCTGCTTTTTTTTTTTAAATTTCTTTTTAGGATGCAAAATGTCTTATAATATTGAGCAATTGTACTTATACTGTAAAGAATATCATTCCCAGATTGCAGGATAGTTTCATTAAGTATGGATACCCTGACATGCAACTAGTTATAAAGGTATTTATTCTTAGACTTCCTTAATATAAATTATTATTTTTTTTAATCTGAGTATTGCTACAATTTTCTAAGCTTTCACAAACTTCTGTATAGTTTATGAAAATCTTTAATAAAAGTTACGAAGATTAATACTGTAGGGAAAATTCTTACGAAAAATATGATAATCAAAATTTTCACTATTCTATTTGAGTAGTTTTAAAAATTTGTGTTCTCTTAAAATGCTTAAGATTTTTTCAAACCTGTAAGGATTTTTTAGAATCTGAAAATCTAAAAATTTATTGAATTTAAATCTTCTTAGCTGAATTTTTTCATTCAGTGAGTGGTACCCTCAAGTGCTTTAAAAATGTATTCCGACCATACAATACATATTATTTTGTACTGATGTACCCCTTAATGTGTGCGCTGTAAGTTTAGAAACGTCCTATATATGTTTTGTATGTTGACTGTTAAAGTGAGCTTATTGCATGCAGCATATTAGTTTGAATCAGAATATGAAAATTAATGTGCATTTTTTCTTGGATATTACTTTGCAAACGGGGCTTTTTTTTTCTTAATTACAGCAACTACTGAACATTCAGACCTATTGCTAAATGACTAAAAACGCTCATAGCTTTTATTTGTAAATGAGTTAAACACTTTTTAGAAATTTCAGGGCATTGAGTGCTAGTTAAACTGCAAGTCAATATATTTTACTGCAATACATTAAACTTTTATATACCTATAGCAAATATTTTCTAACTTTAAGGGTCAAAAAAGGAAAAATTATTATGCTTTATAAAACAATAAAAACAATGACTCATGAAAATAATGATAAAATTATATAATCTGATCTACAAATTTAATCTGTCCTTTTTCTAAATTTATTTGTGCTTCTTTTTAGTTAATGTTAATTAAAAGACTACATTTTGATAATTCTTTTATAACTTTTACTGTTTTTAAGTACGTATATTTAATGACATATTATCTTAGTTTTAAAAATGTTTTAATATTAAATTAAAATAAATATAAAAACAATTTTAGTTTAAAGGAATGACGAGCTTAGTGGAAGAAACAGATGAAACAAATTTTATTAATTTTGAGTAAATGAGAAATAAAGTTTATACGTTTCTCATTTTTGTTATTTCACTCAATCTTTTTGTTTTTATTATATTTAAGAAGATAAAACTCCAATATTTTTTTAAATATATTTTATATATAAAATTTTTTATACATAAATTTTTTTTAAATTTATGTAGTTATTTGACATTAATATGTAATATGTATGACATTAATATGTATGTTTTTTTAAACAATTTTTTTTATATAGGAGTATTTTTAATGATTATTGTGCTTAGTACCTGCTTGTTTTCATGGTGAATTTTGAATGTTTTTAAATGAATGTAATTTTGTTTGAAAAGCTAAACCATATATGCATGTATTTAGACTTTCATGAAATAAAATTTCATCCATTTCAGTATGAAACTATCATTCAGTTTTATCTAGTCTTGTTAGTCCGAAAACCATTCTGAAATGAGGCAGTGGGAGCTCAACATTTGTGCAGTAGATGTTTTACTGGTATTTATTACTTAAATTTTCAAGAATTCGAGCCATGATGGCTCAGGGGATAGAGCGCTCACCTTCCAAGAGGCATACCGGGTTCGAATCCCAGTCGATACGAATTCCGCATCTGGCTTGCACCAACCACAGTGCTGACATGAAATATCCTCAGTGGTAGACGAATCATGGGTTAGAGTCCCCTTGCTGTCAGGCTAACCATTGGAGGTTCTCGTTATCTTCCTCTCCATGTAGCGCAACTGCGGGTTAGCTCCATCCAAAAGTTTGCCATGAAGGCAAATTTCTCCCAATACTCGATCCAGGAGTTCCCTTGTCTTCGGGTTCATAATTACAAGGCTACAGTGTTGAACATTTTTATTTGTAAACCCATAAAATTGGGTCGGCTGTTCAACGATGGTTATAAAAACAAAATGAAATTGCCGAGAATTTAGTAATTATTAATTAAAAAATTTTTTTTCTTAAATAGTGCCGATTGTGGTCAAAATGTTTTATTATTTTGTTACAGCAAAAGGTATGTCTAAGATTGAGTAAAAGTATTTTTATTAGTTTGAATACAAAAAATATCTGTAGCTGTGGAAACACAGAAATTATTTTCATTAAAAATTATCAATTTCATTCTAAAATGTCGCTTTTTAATTTCTGAAACTTCTAAAAATATGTTTTGCCTAATCTAATAATATAAAGCCATCAGGAAGAGCAACGAATAATTATAATTAAAAAAATTGGAATTTTTTTAACTGCATTAATTTTGTCAGTATATCTCTCTTAATTTTGTGCAGTATTTTGTATAAGAATTCAGCTAGTAGTAACCATAACACTGAATTGAAAAATTTGCATAAGCACAAAATAATATTTCTTTTCAATGCAACTTTCCTTTTGAAAAAAAATTAAGTTTATTAACAGGGCCGTCTGTCTGAAACACAAAATATTATTTACTAGAAGCAATAAAATTATATTATTTAAGGGCTATTTTTTCTTTTTCTTTTTTAAATATTGATTCCTAAAAGAATCTACATTCTTTTATAATGTATCAAAGCTGCTGTTTCAGTTTTCCCATTTTCTCTGGAGTAACTTCTCTCTGCCTCAACGTTCGATACCAAATAAGTGATTTTCTAGAGTTGTTTGTTGACTATTTGTTGCCATAAGCATTACCATTTTCTTGCACTTAAGAAAATATTCAAATAGTGTCACTTACTTCCTTATATATTTCAATAAAACAAAAATGGGAACTTTTCCCGAGAAATATAAATTTTTAAAAAAACTTTTTCATAACTGTTTTTTCCATTAAGCTCTTAAAATTATTTTCGCATTACGGCTAAGCTAAAATTAAGCCCACGACTGGATAAATGCAATATTTTGTTGTCATTTTCAATTTTATTTACTTTTCTATTTTGTAGAGCAGTATTGCCCGCTTTCAAGAGGTTATTTCTAAGCTATTTGAGGCATATGTAGAGCGCAAAGCTGATCCGATTGTTGGGGCAATAGAACCAAGAATGTATGCTAGCTGTTTTAGTTGGGAATCAGATTACAAGCCAACAGGTCTGCTTATATAATTAATTCATTTAGGTAGGAAAATATTTTTGCTCAATTAGCATCATAACTGATTAGAATTTTTTTGAATTTCTAGGTGTTAGTATTTACATTAAACAGACTATTCTGGACATGAGTGAAATCCATGCAGAGGTAAATATACAATATTATATTATTTTATGTTTTTCAGTAATAAAACATTAATTTGTAAGTTTTTTTTGAAATTATAGCGTAACTACCACTTCAATTGTTAAACAACAATTGTATATAAGACATGCCAACTCAATTTAATCTTGGGATACCTTTTGATTGACCGAGGTTGGCATGGTTGATAACTCCTTTCCCTACATTGGTGACCTGTACTGAACACACAAACTATACTGAACCCACCTACCTCGACAGGCATGCCAATTTTGATTTGAACACGCCTACTTTGATTGACAGTCCACATTGAACAGTTGATATGCTATTTGTAACTGTGTTATCGTCCTCTTCACACTGTTGCTTCTCAGTTTCATTTACATTCAACGAAATCTTGCACACACTAAACTACTAATAGCATCACAGAAGAGACTACATTAAACATCAATTCACTAGTATATAAGACATGCTAACTCAATTCAAACTTGGGGTACCTTTTCATTGAGCAAAGTTTGCATGGTCCCCACAAAATATTAACTTAAGTCTGAAAGAGTTTTTTTTGTTCTATATTTAAAAATGGCTACAAATTATTAAAAAATATATATATATATATATAGTGAAAAATGTTACTATATATCTTTCTGATCTTGCACTTTTTATCATAAATTTTTATTATTGTTTGATTATAAAAGTCTTATATTTTATCTTTAAAGTCTGTAGAAATTTAGGGACTAACATAGACAAGTTTGTATTGAAAGGTATCAGTTTCATTACATTAAATTATGGATAAATTAATTCATGATGTGCCTATGCTTTAAATACTATTATAAATATTTTTGTAAATTTAATTATTCAAACATTGTTTTTAATAAATTCACTTTTGTATTATCCAGACTCTTGATAAAAAGTGTTAATTTTTTAAACTAATTCTCAAAGTATGTTTATTATCTCCTTATTTGAACTATAATTTCTTTCCCAACGTGGATGGGGAAAAATCCAGTAGATTTTAAAAAATAATATAAATTTTATGATAATTGTTGCAAAAGGTACTGAATATTTTACATGTGGGGAATTTTATGGATTTTTATAGTTATCAAAATAGAAAAACTGCAATAGTTTCTTATTAAGATTTACATTAAATGAACTTGAAATGTTACACATTATGTTTACTCATAATTTTGAATAGTGATACGCATTATTCATCAAAGATAGTTAAAGGTTTTTTAATTAGTTAAAAAAGGGACTTTTTCTGTATGAAAATAAACTTAATTTTAGGATAAAAAAGTTTTAAGCTGATTTTTATAAATGAGGCTCATTTCATTATGTAATAATAACAATTATTCAAATATTCAAGCAAATAATAATCTGTTCAAAAATTCTATTTCAATAGGGATTTCTCTGGGAAACTTACTCAATTTTAGGGAATTTTTAAAAATGTACAAAAATCAGAATACTTTTTATTAAACCAGTAGATTGAAATTTTTAAAAAAAAAAATCATTTAGACTTTAAAGGTAAATCCATGATTGAAGACAGATTTTGTTTCTTTAATTAAAAACATGATGATACTTTATGTATGCTTGAATCGAATTAGAGAGTGGGATATTCTCAATTACCATATTCCACCTTATTCAGAGGTAAGCCACCACTTCAAAAATGCTCCAAGAAACAGCAGCTCTGATATGCATTTTATATTATCCAACACAGTCAACCCAATTCATTAAATTATAAATTGATATCCTTTTGTGCCAATTTCTCTACTACATTAAAGGGATGTTGGCTTGACTTTCTCTGACTATAGCTACTTGTTTCATTGTGTAACTCATTCATACGTATAAAGAACCCCATACTAAATATAGAAACAATGGGCATATATTCTGACATACATTTGTGGTCCAAGTTGTGTTGATTATACCTGTTGTGATTTGTCCTTGTATAAATGTAACAGTTCTATTGGAATTCATATGAAAATAGATGATGTTGGAGAAATGATTAGCCTTTTGAAAAGAAGTAGATAACATTTTATAACCTAGCAACTCAACAGTGTAACAGTATCAGATTTAAGTTTTAAAAAGAATTTGCTGTTCATGAAGAAATTTTTTCTTCTTTATTTTTAAGAGTTATTTTTTTTTTATTTGAAAAGCTTATGTTTTTTTTTTATAAATTTCATCATTTAAATTATGTTTTATTATTTAATATCATTATTTAAAATATATTTTATTTTTTTTACTTTTGAGCTATAAAAGAAGTGAAAATCTAATTGATAAATGCTTTACTTTTTTTTAATTCAAAATATAATAAAGAATTAATTAACAAAAATTTTTATCTTTTAAATGCATATAATTAATACATATGGTATTTCATGTATATTAATAAAAATATAGTTGTTTTAGATATTTAAATAGATATTATGACAATCAAATAGAAACTTTATTCAGTTATGGGAAATATAGCAGTGCACGTTTTACTTTTATTTTTCCTGGTGTCAGAAAAGTCAGGTTTCTGTTTTACTTTTCCTAAATTATGTTTTCATTTTCCATTTCCAAATTTTTTTACACCTTTTTATTTTTTATGAGTTCATACATTTTAGCTCCTTAAATATTTTATATAAAAGCTAAGATTTTATTTTATTTTAGCTTGTGTTTTCTTTTATAGGCACATACTTTCATATTCCTTTTTTAATTTATCTTATGTGCTTTATTTTGTTCATCGTCATACATATTTTATTAATTTATAAAAATAACACACAATAATATTATTATTTATGAGCACTGCTTTATGTGTTTCAAACTTTTAAATATTTTGTTTAAAAAGTTTGAAAAGCATAAAGCAAAGCTGTAATTTTTAAAATATAGAGCTTTGCACTTATTTTAATGTGTTTGTGTTTTTTTTTACAAATTGTTGCAGGTGTTTTCTGTTTCTCCTCCTTTTGTGAGTAAAGTCCTCACCAAAGTGGTTGAAGGTGTTGTGGAAGAACTAGCCAGATTGTATGAGTGTGCTGAAAGCTTTCAAGGAAATGGTAACATCCAAGTAAGTTTCATCATCATCATCGATAGCCCAAGGTCGGCCTTGGCCTTCTCAGGAAGATTTTTTCCATGCTAACCTTTTTCCTGCTAGTGTTTTCCAGTTTTTAGTTTTTAAGACCAAAAGATCTTTTTCTTGGCCATCTATCCATCTCAAATTCGGCCTGCCTCTTTTTCGTGTGCCAAATGGTCTGGCATTGAGAAATCTTTTGGTCGTACGATCTTCCCCCATTCTGATAACGCGGACTGCCCATTTTATTCTTTGTATTTTAATAAAGTTAATAATGTCAGGTTCATTATATGAGTTAAAAAGCTCTAGATTTGATCTTCTAAGCCACACACAATTTTTTTGAATTCCTCCAAAAACGTTTAATCAACTATGTAACTTTGGGTGTACATAAAAAAATATTTCACCACTAAACTTGTTTAATTGCACTTTTTGCTGTAAATAACAATAAAATACATGATGCAGCAAAAAAAAATTTCTTCTATCAGCACTACAGTTAACTGCCAGCCTCGGCTGTCTCAAGTAGCTTATTCTATACTGATTGATCTGATATTACTCTCCATCTATTTACCCCTACCTAGCTCAGCCACTTTTCACATCATCTAGTAGATGGTTTGCTTCTTTTTCTATTTCCTTCAGACTTGTGGAAAGTTTTTTCCTCTTAAAAAAACTGGATTATTGTCCTCATACCCATAAACACACAAGGGAAAGATGTTCCAGGACCCAGAATCTGATTGAAATTCTTTGGGAAAAAAGATGTATCGATATAAAAAACGAAAATAAATAACTAATTTTAATAATTTTCCTCTATAAATAATAGTTTCAATAATATTAGCTAAAAATCAAAAGGAGCAAAATTACATATTGCAACGATGCCAAGTTAAATTGACTCAAAGTATATAGAATTATTAAGTTAAACAAAAAATAAAGAAATTTGATCCTTTCTAATCTTGTCGTTGACTGTCTATGTTTATTCATTGAAACTGTAACTTTGTAATAGTCATTTCAAAGAATAAGAAAAAAGGCAACATGAAAGTAATGATTCAAATTTCTTTCTTTTCAGGCTACTCTCAACATTCGAGCTCTGGAAGATGTAATGTCAGCATACAAGACAAATAGTACAAAGTATGTCTAATAATGTTACATATTTCTTGAAAAAAAGTATTTGGAGCAAAACTTAAAGATAAATTAAAAATGTTTTGAGTCAACATTCTAAGACACAATTTTTGCAATAGTACTTATGTATTATCCTGACGATCATTTTCACCAAATCTGAAAATAAACTGAATGTGGTTTAAATTTAAATATTTTCACATTTTTTTCTGAAATGAGTTATTTTTGTATTTTGTCTATTTCTTTATGATCAATCACTATGTAAAATTAAATTTGGAAGATACCAAAATGACTTTGGATAATATATAAGTACCAAATAGAGTTATGCTTTGCTTCTTTTTATGCATAAAGATTTTTGCATGATGTTGAAAATATTTTGAAAACCTAAATGCATATCTGCCATCTCTATTGGATTTATCGGTAGACTACTAGATTTTGCCACTTTCTCCTGGTCTACAGGTTTAATTAAAATTCCCTAAAAGTGAGTAAGTTTCCGTTAAAAAATTTTTACACAATTTATTGCTTGCTTGAGTATTTAAATAAATATTACTTGTACATAATGAAATAAGCCTCATTTATAGTAATCAGTGTAAAGCTTATTTATTTTTTTTAAATTTCATTGTAAAAATTTTCAGTTTATTTTTATTCAGAACTCCCTTTTTAAACTGATTGAAAAAATCTTTCTACTATCAATGATGAATTATTTGTCTGTTAGTATTCAAAATTATGAGTTAACATAGTAATAAACATTTCAACTTCAAGTTCATTTATTGTTAATCATGAATGGAAAATAATGCAGATCATTAAAAAAATTTTAGTGTAATAAAATTCTTGTATTTTAATGACAGTAAAAATCCTTAAAATTTTCTTTTTGTGAAATATTTAGTATACTATTCTATTGTTATCATGAAATTTATAGTATTTCATAAAATCTACTGGATTTTTTCCTATCCATGTTGGCAGCTATGTGAATACCTTTTTAGAAGGGAAAGATTTGCCTCTACTAAAAATAAAGTAAAATATTAATATTTTTTAACTTATGTGCCAGCTGGCACAAAGAGTATAGTTAGGTTGGTAACAAACGAAATAATTATCATTTATTTCTTTTTCATAATTTTGTTTATTTTTTTAACAATGTTTTTCTAGTTATTTTTATTTTTATTTATTTTTTTTAAATAACGGCAGGCACTTGAACTCTCGTTCTTCACCTCGGAAGATGCCGGAAGTGTTGCTCATTTAGCGTTACCCAGTGGGCACCTGTGAACCTAAGTCACGGAGGCGAGCAACATTACCCACGCCGCACTGCCACAAACCCGTTCATAGGGCAGGCCACATTCACACATCACACACAACAGAGGACAACACAGAGAGAAACATCCATGCCCAGAGCGGGATTCGAACCCGCAGCCATTGGCTTCGCAGTCAGGCACGCTAACCGCTCGGCCACCTGGCCGGCTTCTAGTTATTTTTTAATGTGTGAAAAAATTTTGCACTTGAAGGATTAGTTATTTATTAAAATACTAGCTTTGTTCATCTATTTTTGAAAAAATAAGACATTGTTAATTTTGGATGTACCTTTTTTATGTATTATATTATTTGGAAGATTTAAATTCATTTTTAACTTTTTGCCTTGTGAGCTTACATAGTTATTTTTAAATACGTTTTAAAGTTATTTTTAAATATTAGTGAATATTTCTTGCTGAGTGCCTTTCTTTTGTAACGCTCATCTTTATTCATTTACTGTTCAAAAGTAATAAGTTACTATTTTTGGACTTGCCATTTTTATAAATATATTTCATTTGGAAGGAGATAATTATTTTTTATTTCTTTAACATAGTTTTGTTCTGTGTTCTAGCTCAAAAACTAGATAATGTTTTCTATCATGTCTCATTTATGTTATATATATATATATATATATATATATATCAGTGGTTTCCAACTGGCGTCCTGGGGGTCGCATCTGACCCGCAAACTAAAATATATCAGTTGCCATTTTTTTGCGGACAATCTTCATAAAAAATCTCTATGGATTTAAAATACTTTTCTCGTTAATAAAAACCTAATTTCTTCGTTTCTGTGAAATTTATCATAATAACGGTGCAAAAAAAATTATTTTTCAGGTTTTGCATCTAAAAAAATATTTATTCAAACACAAAAATAATCGCGTATTTTGCTCTTTTTTATTTCATTTTTTTGTATTTTGTGAATATAATTCAGCATGTGTATATCAGAAATTTTCACGAAGAAATTCTCCGATTTAACTTTTTGAAACCACTCATTTTGGACGAAAATATTTACACACACAATTGTAAATTTTAAATTTAAAATGTAAATATTATTTTTTGGTGGTTGCAGCAGACAAACCTCAATTTTGTCATTGAACATTTTGTGTGCTACTATGTAAGTTTTAATACCAACCTTTTTAAAGTTTGATATCTTGACAATTAAATATCTGTTGCACCTTAATTGTTTAATACATGGGTGCACATTAAAGTTATTGTAGCGCGATTTTTTAATATGCAATTAAATATTTTTAAAAATCTACTTCTTATTTTAATTTGTNATCTATATTATATAAAACGCTAATACGTATGTATCAATAAAACCGATGATATTTCTTTTCTCGCGATGGCAACAGTTTTCATTTTTAATTGATAGGCTTCGGCGCGCAAGAGCACGTAGTGAGCATCATATGGCTAATCTATATTTTATAAAACACTAATACATTTTAATTGATATGCTTCGGCGTGCAAGAGCGCGTAGTGAGCATCATATGGCTAATCTATATTATACAAAACGCTAATACGTTTTAATTGATAGGCTTCGGTGCACAAGAGCACGTAGTTAGCATCATATGTCTTATCGAGTTAATTCTCACCGAATTATCAAAAAAATTCTCACAAAATTATCTTCATCGAAGCTGATGCTTTACATCCGGCGTTCATATTGTTTTACAACACATGGTTTTAGCTCTGTGGTGGGAAAGACTTTAAAACAAAACTTACAACAGTTACTTTTCTCAACAACTGAAATTTAGAATAGTGTGATTAAGAAAAATATGTGAACTGTTTGCAATTTCAAATTAATATTGAAATGCACAGGATTAGAATTTTCTACAGTGAAAAGTTTTCGGAACTTCAGTGTTCAAAAAAGTATACAAAAGCTAGACGTTGAGAACATATCCAATGAACGAGCAAAGCGAGCATCGGATTGCGAAGCAATCCGAAATGAACTGTGAAAGCAGTTCCGGGGGTTTGCGAGCGCCAGGGAGCAGGGGGCGAAGCCTCCTAGTTTATTTATAATTCTCTTTTATAACCTTTTTGTTGTGGTTATCTTTAAACATGCTTTAAAAACATTTTTAAATATTCAATAACATTTATTTCTAAGTGAGCAATTAACCCACCTAATCATCAAGCATGCAGGTCACAAGAAGTAAAACAAAATTCCTAGGTGGAGGCTGAAACTTCACTAATATTTTATTATAGGTAAAAGATTATATTTATGACAACACTGCTGCCATCTATATCAACGTTTGTGCTTTCATCTATGTGCGACATGTTAAACTAACTCATTCAACACTGAGAATGTTTGTTTTTAATGACAGCTTTCTTTATCCACAGTTCAAAAATTAAAAGTAGCTCAATTTAGATTACACTTTCTTTTATTTATCTTTTTCTGTATTTTTTCAAATGACTCATGTTTGTTTTGCAGGATGAGATGGTTATTTTTGTTTGTTGTTTTAAGGTTATTCTTAAATATTTAAAAATATTTCTTACCATTAATATCGTCCTTATTAAAAGTTATAGCTTTGTTTATCAATTTTCTCAAAATTGTTTTTTGTGAATCCTTACTTACAAAATTATTTTATTATTAAAAGGTTTGTTTTACAAACTCTGATAATTTTATTTTATTTATTATAGTAAATATTTCATGTCATGCAGAGGAAAATTGAAGCCATTTCCAAACCCTAAAGATGCCGAGTATGCCCTGATTTTTTTTTCTATTGTGAAAAAATATTTATTTTAATTTTAAAATTACTTAAATCTGTACATATTTTTTTCCAGGTTGGTGAATGATTTGCTGAGAACTTTCAAAAATCAGATTTGGTTACAACTGCTGTGTTTCAAAGAGAATCTTGTTAGTGTTTAATAACATTTTTGTACTGATCGACTGTGATGTCTTGTTATTCTGATTATTATGAGTTTATTAGATATTTTTATGACCAAAAATGGATGTCTAAATTTATGATGTCATGCTATGCATTTTGAAAATAGCTATATATCTAATGTAAATTATTAAAGTTTATTTATTTACTTATTATTGATTCATTTTGAATGTGTGTTAAGTTTTTATTAAACGATATCAGTTTGAATGATTTAAACTATAATTTATAAATAAATTTTCTTGATTTTTCCCAAAAAAATTTATAATTTGTACTGACAAAAAAATGAATTGACCAAAAAATGTCAATTAATAAGAAATATATAATTTTTCATTAATCAACAAAACATTTTGTTAAAAACAAGAAATCGAATTTTTCTATTTGAAGGTTCAAGTTGCAAAATTTATTATACTCAAACAAGTATACAAATTACAAAGTCAATGTTTTGCACAAGAATTTCCAAACTCATAGTTTAAATGATATATGATACTCAATATATGATATTCAATAACTAATAAATGATACTCAATATGACAGTCAATATATAATAACATAATTTTCAGTTATCTATTATATATCTTACTTGTGATTAAGAGCCAAAAATAATTTTTTCAGGTAGCCTTTTTTCACATAAATTATTACCAGCTCATTGAAAAGTGTAGTTTTATTTAAATGGTTTCTCTTAAGACAAATTTAAATAGAAATTATGAAAGAAAAGTTTTAATGAACTTATATTATAATTTTAATAAATGTAAGAAAACTTAACCATATTGCAAAAAAATATTTTTCAAGAAATAACTAAAATTAATTGCAAATTTTATTATTGTTATTTACTGGATATTTATAATTTGAGTGAAATTAAAGATTAGTTACTTGCCAGGCTTTTTGCGTAATTTTCACAGGTTTTAACAAAAATTACAATTTTGCCAATATTATTTTTTTTAACCACATAGGATTCTTGATAACATTTATATTAAAAAGAAACTGATTATAGGTTTTAAGTCATAAGTTTATTTTACTTTTATTTTTTAATCCAAATCAAAATTATAGAGACTGTACTTATACACACACACATTTTTAATAAAATAGATCAATCCTTTAAAACTGGTTTCAATAAAGTATAGCTAATTGATTATGAGTACGAGCACTAACCGTGTTTTAATTTATCAGGATTTTTTTTAAGTCCTTAATATATATTTACTTCTACTTACAAAGGTTGCATTAGCCATATTACATATTTGCTACTTAAATTGTGTCATGAGTCTTTAAGACTTTCTGATAATCCATATTGAACGAAAGCCACTGACTTGGTTCAAATTATATTTCTTTCATTTGAAATTATACAACTAACAAAAATATTAAAAATAACGTTTCATACAGTATATACAATAAGTAAAATTAAAATTTTTGAAGATCAAATACCATTAGTTATAACAATTGATATGTTTTGTTGATTTTTAAATTGTCTGGTAAAAATAGAGAGGAATCTAATGTAAATTTATTTAAAAAAAATGTTTTACTGACTTGCAAATATTCTTCTTGCTTTCAGGTAATTTAAGCATAATTCTGTTGTGTTTAAAGAGGTTTTACAATACATTATTATTTATTAAAAAAAATTTTATTAAATAATTTTAATGACATCCTTTTAGTTTATTTTACCTTTCAACAATTTCTAGTGTCAACTCAGATTCAATGAATACAAAATTATTCAGCATTTGTTTTTCTGTTATTGATTTCAGAGCATAATAAATTAAATACAAGTCAATCGTTTATGCTAAAATAAATGATTTGCTGATTCATAAAAATGTATCAGTAAAAAATTCTATTAAAATCACTTTCATTTTTAGTTTTATAAAAAAATTTGATTCAACTTTAATTACTTCGCAAATATGCATATACTAGGTCTAAAATTACATTAACTCTCAGATTTCTTTGACAAAAATGCAATCTTAATATTTTAACAAATATTACATATGCAATATTTGTTGATTATTTTACTCATTAGGCACCAAATCTTCCACGATAAGAAAAACTATTCTTTATTTTTTCCTGCTTCCCCTCATAGATGAATTAAAATTCTATTAATGTATCATTGAACATTAATAGAATTATGTTCAATGATACATTAATAGAATATATTAGAATAGAATAGTCCCTTTGTACCCCTTGAATAGAATAGTCCCTTTGCCGTCAGGCTAGCCATGGAAGTTTATCGTGGCCTTCCTTTGTAACGCAAATGCGGGTTAGTTCCATCAAAAAAAGTCCTCCATGAAGGCAAATTTCTCCCGATTCTTGATCAAGGAGTTCCCGTGTCTTCTGGATTGAGTTCAAAATGACTAGACTACGGCGTTGAACATAAGTAGTCGCAAAACCCAAAATTGGGTTGGCTGTTCAACGACCATTATAAATCCTGTCAAAAGCTGATGTAAAAAATTTATTATAAGTAGTTTATAATGACCTCACTGTTCGAAGATCTCGATTTGGGAGATTCGGCAGGATTTATGCAGAACAAGTAATAACACTAAAATTAATTTAAGACAAGGGAACTCCTGGATCAAGTATTGGGAGAAATTTGCCTTTGTGGATGACTTTTTTTGATGGAACTAAACTGCATTTGCGTTGCATTTTGAGGATCCCACGGTTGGTCTGACGGCAAGGGGACTCATGATCGACTTTGTAGAGTATCTACCACTACAAAAATGTAATTTCAATTCACTAGTATACAAGACATGTTAACTCGATGGATGGTCCACATTGAACAGTTGACTTGCTACTTCATTATCCACCTCCTCGTGCTGTTGCAACTCAGTTTCACGGATTCTCACGATCCCAGAGTTAATCAGCTAGTGGTATTCGTTCATCGAATTCAATCACAGATATAATTCTGGTGGGGGAGTGCTGTAGTGTATCTACCGCTACAAAAATGTAATTCCAATTCACTAGTATATAAGACATGTTAACTCGATTCTATGGTGGGTACCTTTTCTTAGATGAAGGTTGACATTGTCGATAACTCCTTACCTCACCACAATTCATCACTATTACAAATAATTGATTATCAGTAATCATTATTTACTACAGAACATTTAATAACTCTGATACATATGCTATTTAAGTACAGATTATACTGTTGTTCTCAACTCAAAATTCCACTTTTACATTCATAACCTTCTTAGCCATTATGATGTAAGAGAATGTCATTGATGTATTCTCTGTTTACAATCATAATGTTGCCCAGGGAACGCCAATCGAGGAGGCGAGGTTATTTTATTTTGACTGCTAAAACATTAAGCATAACTCATGATAACAAAAACAATATGCTAATAACAAACAATATATGTGTTTGTGAATAACTATGGTTTTAAAATTGCGAAAACTAAATCTTATTCATAGAAAATGTATATGTTTCAGATACATATTTAATTAAAAAAAAACGACAAAACTAATTTTATATTTTTTTTTCAAAATGGAAGGTGTGTGGTAAGAATATATTTGGCTAAGCCGAACAAACGTCAATCGTTTCATACAATTTCCTTTTTGACTAAGTGCTTTACTTCATTAGTTTTATATCTATTTAATAGATGCTTTCCGAATAGTTTCTACACCTCATCAATTGAAACTATTCAAATTGTTTTCGTAAAATTTATGTGAAGTACAGAAACGTAAATGAAACATTTTTAAAATGTTTGCTGAAAAGTGGCCTACTTTGCGTTAAAAAAAATATCCCTGTGTAATTTTAAACATATTACAAGTGGTCATATATTTGATGCGTTCTTGAAACTATTTAAACAGTGTCAGTTAAACGTGGCTAATATTAAGCAGTCAAAATAGTTCCCCAAAGGGGCTGTTCCTTTTGATGTTATTGTCATTCCAGATGTGACAATCGCAACAGCCCCCCGAGGAGTAGAGAGAATCAAGTACCCCGTGTATCCCACAATAACATATCCTTCCAAAGATTACTGCACGTTCTTCCAATTAAAAAGACATTCCTCGAGAAACAATGCAAAGATGTAACAAGAAGCAATATAAAGATAATAAATATAACTAAAATATTACTAAACACAAAATGTGGAAATCAAAAGTACCGAATGAGAACTTAGATATTTTATGTTCAACTTCAACAACTTAAGATATTAGGCCAAAAGAGGAGGGTTATACAGTAGATGGAGAAGTACTAAATTTCTAAATAGAGGAACAATGCTTAAAACTACAAAGTAAAATTATCAAACGATTTTTTAAATAATTTAGAATATGCCAAACCGCAATGATATCTTTTTAATGGAAGAACACACCACAAACTCTTTCGTGACATGATAATGTAGGACGAACGAAACCTTTGATTGTTATCTCTACTCCTCTACATTCCTTTGATAAAGTGGAACTCTTATTAACATTATGAAATGCTAATAAACATATTTAATGAAAAACAATTTTACATTTATGCATATAATATTTACTTATTCATGATTTAATTAAAACTTAATATTTTATTAGCAACTAATTTTACAGTTATGTTTAAAAACATTAGTTCGTATTTAGAAATGAGTAATAAATTGTATCTAAATTCAAAAGTATGAATATTGCCTAAACAAATTGTGATACTGGATTAAAAATTAACTGGATTTTTCCACGGAACCCTATGGTTTAGACTGTTTAATTTTTCTCAATTGGCCCTTTGTTGTTCTTCTAACTTTCAAAATAAAAATTATTTTGATGAAACATTTCTTATATTTAGTGTACAGATATGTTGAGATCTCTCAGAGATAAACAACACAACAAATTTAATGTTTCAAAGGCTTATTTAGTTGTTCTATGTTTAAGTTGTTTTCTAATTTCAAAGTGCAGAGAAATCTAAATTTACATTTACGCATGACTTAACTGTCTCTTAAGTGTTTTGGTGGATGATTGGTATTCCTGCATTCGAGATCAAATAAAATTTCAAGCTATGACCTCGGATCAAAGTTCAATTAGAAAAAGACAGGACATAGTTAATTGAAGTAGTACGACATTATTTCTCTAATTTTTGATGAAACAAGAAATTTCGATTGCCAAGCCTTTTTAATACTTTAAGTGACACAGATTTGACTTTAAAACTAACTAATGTTTTAGTTCTTAAAATTCATGTGTCTGTAAAATTTTAAGAATGAACACGAAT